GCCTCAATCACCTGCGCTACTTTCTTGCAACCAGGTTGATTTTTGAATCGTTTGTGGGCATGGAAGCGTAGCTTGGCTTGCTTACATACGTCACACGCAGGATGCGCAGGCTGATGAGTGAGCAAATGGTCAATTGGAATCTTTGGATTGGGTGCTTCAAGTGGAATCTTGGATTCATGACTTGGGGCCGGAATTGCTTCAAGTAACCCCCCGCTTGGTGCACTTTCAGGAGAGCAAGGAAACAAATCTATTTCAGACTCTGGAAATTCAGGCGACAACGCAGGTGATTCTTCAATGATTGGTTCATCGTCTCTACCCACTGGAAAAGCATGACTTGGGTCCGCGCTTTGCGCAGGCATCCCGGGAACAAAAGAAATGTTTTCTTTGAAAATAGGTACCCCGGGTTCGACCCTTGTAGCCTCCACACAATGCTCTGGTTCAAAAGAAGCGTGAAAGTCAACATGCGGCGGAATCAAGGTTGGTGTGTAGTCGGGTCCCCAAATGAAAGAAAAACCACGTTCAACAAGTTTACCTAATGAACGAACATACGGACAAGACTTCAACAAATACATGAACCCACTACCAGCCACGTCTCCCTCGACACCCAAGGTGCAAGAAGCGTCCTTCAAACCACCCCCAGTATCGAACGTGAGAGGAGAAGATGAGAGAGTTTCGCACTCCTTGAGAATTGTCTCCGGAATGCCCTGCCGCATCAATGATTTGATCGAGGCGAGGTCTTCACCAGCACCTGAATCCAAGGCCCATTCAACCTGATAGCAGTAGGACTGCTGAACAGGCACGTGAGCTGCGTTGGCAGCTGCCCCAAGAACAACCATAGCAACTAAACCAGCCTTGGGCTTGGGCACGGCTTTGGCCGTGGTTCCTTTGGAGTTGCTAGAACTTGGACCGGGACCTTCATGTTTGTAGGGACAATCAGCCCCGCGTCGACAAAGCCCTTTGGGGTAGAAGATGCATGCACCCTTTTCCTTTTGATTCTTTGAATCCTTAGACTCTTGCTGACCAGAACTACTGCTCGCTTGGCCCTTGGTGGTGGATTGCACTTTCTCAGCGTTTGAGGAAGGTTTCCCTTTGGTAGCCTGACCTTTGGAGTTCCCTTGGCCCTTTTTCCCCTTTGCCCTTTTCAGTCACAGGTCCAGGAGTTGCAAGTTTCTTAGGTCCTTTACGCAGACCCTCGCGGACTGAATCAAGATTCTTGTCATACTGGTTTTCGGCAATCACACGCAACAGTCGGTTCCAAAGATAGTCAAACTGACGTTCTTGAGAATTCCCTGGCGATTCCCTAATCCTATCAATGGTCAACTGCAACGGTTTGACACGTTTGAGTTTCTCGAACAGCCATTTGGACATGAGTGAATTCGCTGGTCGGTCAGCATTTGGTAGTTGCCCCAAAATGTATTGAACCTTATCCCTGAAATGGATCAAAGAAGCCACATCTGACTCAGGCGCGTTCAACTGGAACAACTCAACTGATGACACCACGCCACCCAAAGCTGCATCGAGATCAAATTCTCGAACCACCATGTTCAACAATGGACGACCCCTGAGAGGAGTATTGTTGGTCATGCACTCTTCAATGAAAGCTTGAATCCGAGGACCAAAGTAACCCTTAAGGCAAGAATCCTTCGTAAACCAAGAACACAACACACGATCAAATCGCGGAAAACCATCAGAATCGTTGCGAAGTTGTTGGGTTTCAGTTGAAGAGCTTGCGTTGAAGGCCGTCATTAGCCACGTAAACAGGTGGTTTTGACTAGACTTGTCAAGCGCCATAAGAGTTGGAATGAAAGCATTCTTCCAAGCCCTTAGAGACCCTGCTGACTCCGGAAGGGAAGGCATTCTCACAGCAGACACGTCTTTCCATCGAAGGCACAAATCCTCCAGTGTCCTCGGTTCATCCTGATCATCGGAATCAACAATCCTAGACGAAGCCAATCCCTTGGGGGACCTACCAACCCTCACATTCATTGGTGGAATTAGTTCTTCATCCGAATCATGTTCGGCAGGGGCATCTGGTACCTCTAACCCCCATGATTCCAAAGCAACGAGTCGTTGATTCATTTCAACCAAGTCACTTTCAAACGAAACCATTCTTTCAACAAGCTGGTCGGTTTTCGCATGTAGGGCCGTGTCATTATGGCTCAAATCCTTTGGCTGAGACCTAGCAATTACTTCGTTCAACTGTCTCACTTGTTCCAACAGCTCTTTCTCCCGTTTTTCAAATTCAACCCTCAGGTGTCTTTCTTGTGATACCAAAGCTTCAGCAGCCTGCAGTTGTGTGGAAGCAACGGCTTGGGAAGCTCCAACTTGAGAAGCTGCAATCTCATGTGCAGCATATGCACGAATGCCCTGCACTTCCTTAGCAGCCCTTAGTTCAGCTTCTTGAGACTGAGTCGTGGCGTTGGCCACTTCCTGAAGTGCCTTAGCATGAGTTGCCATGACAATTCGCTCAGCCTCAGTACGAGCTGACTGTTCTCTCTGCTGTGCTTCAAACACCGCACTGGCTGCTTGGTTCATGATTTCGGGGTCTTGGGAAGGAGCTACATAGATTTGGGTCAGTTGTTGGTATCGAGTCCCTGTTTGCTGCAATTCGCGTACCTCCATTTCGCTGTCAACTTCTTCATGAGATGGTGATGGCCTACTCCTATCAACAATCCTCTTAGGGTCAACCCGCGCTGACGCTGGCGATGACCTTTGCCCTAAACGTGCAAGCGCTGAGGATGACCGCTTCACTTTCACACTTGTTTTAGGAGCATGAGTTGATCTGACAGAAGATGACCTTGAATCATTTGGGGACTCAGTCATTCCAGGCGCTCCCATGGGTGCGTCTTGCAAGCCCGAAGAGGCCGACAAATTCAAAGAAGACGAAATCCCTGAGCCACTCATGGTTTCTAAAACGTCTGCCAAGATTCACTGGTAAAAATCTCGGGGATAGACTCGTGGGCTCTCAGTCTGCGTGAACTCCAAGAAAGCAGCCAGGTCCGAAAAAGAACGGTACCGTCTTCCACCCTCCGAGGAAGCTGAATACAAACAACCCGTCACGCCCCGACTAGAAACTGCGTCAACAACGCTTAACTTATCGTCAAGATGAAATGACACAGATTCCCTACAAATCTCAGCTTTCTTCCGATCGTCAGTGATTACAAGAACAATCTTCTGGTATGAAGGAACTCCTTTTTCAAACAGAATCCGGTTCGCTCTTACAACCTCCTTTTGCAAAGAATCCCTTCTGCGCAAACTATCCTGACCCGAAAACCCAATATAAGAACAAATCCCAATGCGGTGGTGGTTTGACACTCTGAGAAAATCACAGATTTGTTCGAAACAGCTAGTGCGAATCCCGTTGTAGGTCTTAGCACCGGGATACTCAAGATCCAAGACTCCGTGAAAGTCCAAACTGACTCGAAGCTCTGTCGAAGGAGGGGCAACACCAGTAGCCGCAACAGGGGGATTCAAACCAGGTGGGATTGGATCTGAAAGCTTTGCTTTTGACTGGGGACCTTTTGAAGTTGAAGGAGAAGAACTTGAACCCTTTGAATCGTTCTTTGGGAAAGCAGGGGCAACACTGAAAGACAAGTCACTGAACGCCTTGGCTTCTGCTTGCTTTGGCACCGGAACTTCTACCGTTGGAGGGGTGACAACCGAAGGAGTTGTTGCAATTGGAACCGAAGGACCAGCAAAGCTTGGAACCTCAAGTAAGTCCAACCCAACCGGCGGAGGCGGCGGTGCCGGCAACGGACTAGTAGCACTACAACTCCCCAAAAGGGTTGGTGGTGGCAACGGATTAGCGCTAGTAGCACTACCGGAACCAGACGGTGAAGGGAACCCAAAATTCGTCTTCCCTCTGAAGGCCTTTGGAACAAACTCACCACGCTCAAACCTTTCCTTGAGTATCTTTTGTTGTACTACCTTCTTACCACCTCTTTCACCACGAGGCCTTTTGGGAGGCTCGTCACTCATTCACGTCCCCTCCAACCTCAACGCCTGAGAACCCAGATGCCAGCGCAAGCGCAAAGGTCAAGGGACTCGAAGACGAAGAGCTGGAGAGCTGGAAAGGATGCAAAGCAATGCCAGAGGCGAACGATCGGAACACACCCGAGCAAGCGCAGATCACAGCGCGCAGCTATGGCAGAGCTGCGGCTGATAACCCAGTTTTATGAGTTTCAGACAAGGCTAACGCCTTTTCACTTCAAGCCTTGAGCCAAATGTCATTGAGACTTTGGCAGTTCCACTCATTGGAGGGAACACTTCCTGACAAGTTCTGATCTCAAACAGCTTGTGATCTGTACGCTGTTTATGACTGCATTGCTGTGTGACATCAAACGTTATCACAAAGCAAATGTGATGCCTTCCCTTTGTGCTAAGGTATGCTCCTTGACATGGCGCCTTCCTGCTCTAACTTTTGGGTGGGCAAGGGGCCCAGGGACGACACGAGGGGGAAACCAGTAGATGTTTGAGACTGGATCTGTTCTTTCTTGATATCTAGAAGCTAGGTCGATCGACAAGTAAGCGACAGATGGATGCATAGCGAGTAAACTAGTCGCCCTTACTTAAACGGCCTATCCTAGCCTCCCTAGCCGTAAGTTTACGTGTGGCTTTGGGAGGCTTAATGTTTCTGTTGAAACGGTTTTTCGTTGATACGTATCCCCTGTTGCGTTCCCCATGTGGCGCATGGATCCGCATGGGGATCCGCCCCTGGTTCGGATCCACGGCCGTTTCGATGGGTTCGTTGGACCCGTTCCCAACGTGGATCCCACATTGGACCTAGGCATCTTGTCTACTTGGAGAATGGAACCATCTCGCACCATATGATGCAATTTGCCGAACCATTCTCAATTACTATGTAGGGATGGAAGATTGAGCAGTAAGAATCCTACGAATCCTAAACACATCCTCACAAGGTGTGAGATGCCTCCCAAGCCTAAGCCACACCAAGCTGGATCATAGCGGATTTACAAATGTATTGGGCGACCCTTCTGCGCCTCTGCAGAATCAAGCCTGGCCGTCTTCAATTGCTGAAGGTCATGGTACCTTGGTGCTCGGACTGGAATGCGATCCAGCAAAGTATGGCCGGCTGAGCGTCAAACCCAGCTCTATTAACAGGTGTGACTCGGTGTGACCCGTAATTAGATGTTTGAGTCTCGCCCTGAAAAGAGAATCTGGATCCAGCCACCCTCATTCCGACGTTCGTGTCAGTAATTTTGAGGTGCCTGATTAGCTCTATTCAGCACATTTCACAAGGGCGGGTTGCGGCTGCTTCAGCGCATTAGTATGGACATTCTTCAGCCAAGACTCCGTTCTTTCAGCTTTGGCATGTACCTTGGCGCCGGGAGGCTCGGGGGTCTTGGCTCAGGAAATCAATTCCGGGGAAGAATCACGACTCGATTGCAGGATGCTCACTAACATGGCTTGAAACGCATTCCAAAATATAGGCTCAAAGACTCCAAAATCACCTCTTTGTTCGAGTACGAACCATCTGATTCTAGAGCGTGGAACTGGAGAAACACAGCAGACTGGAGGATTGCAGGACCGACAAAGTTGGCCAAGTGGCTGCAGAAGGGCTCCCTTTCCATCAATTTTCTTCAGCCAGTTGTACATCTCATCCGCCTCCAAGGAATCCTGCTCTCTCTTCTCTCTCTCTCTCTCTCTCTCTCTGGCGGGCATGAAGGAATCCCCTGCTATGGCCAAGTGACCAGTTCTTCATGCCGCAAACGACCAGTTGCTCTCCCTGCACTTTTCTGCTCTGAGCTGCAAAACCAGTATGCTCACGTCCTGCACCCCGGAACCGCCGCTCTTGGAGGCTCGACCTCACAGATTACTTGGATCACAAAGACTCCTCCAAAGGTGAACTGAAACTGGTCGTACACCTGGAACATCCTCTCCTATAGTTTCAATTAAGGGATTCCATGCACTTCCCACCAGCATGGGCAGTTGCCATAATGATGTTTGGCGCAGGCTTAGACTCCTCCAAGCTGAACCAGTTGCGTTGCTGAAAAAACCGCATAGCTGGATTCTGTGAAACGTATAGCATGGCTGGATTCTGTGAAACGTCTATATAGCTTGAACTTATAAGGTACAGTCCAGTATATATATATAGTAATTCCAGTGCCAAGGAAAACCAAGTGCTTGAAGAGACACTACAGGTATAACTCTCTCTCTCTCTCTCTTTCCCTCCATCTCTCAGGACCTTACCTTACCCGATCTTCAAACGCATGTGATTCATCTTCATCAACCAACAACCCCCACAAGAAATAAAAACACATGCAACCCTGCGCCAAAACGTCCGGGATCGAAGCTAAACCTACAATCAACCATGCATAAAACGGCAGCAAACTTTGGACTTGAATACAAAAGCCTCTTAGATTTACAACATGAACAATTCGCAACATTCACGAGTTCTGCCAAGTACTCGCCTGGAGTTTCGACCGCTCGAGTGCTCGCCTGAAGGGTTGCGCAGTCGAGTACCAGATGAGGGCGAGTTGTGCAGTCGAAGAGGCAACACTTAAGGCAAAACGGACGATGGTTAGTACAGATCTTTCTCCAAAACAGTGGTGTTTGGGGACACTCAACATCTATGCGCATCTATCATCATCCTTCATGATCTATCCAGTCGTGGATGGGGAGTAAATGGCACAACCCCCATTGTTCTGAGGTGCCTCTGCCTCTACCTCTCTCTCTCTCTCTGTCTCTCTCTCGCCCTCCCTGTCTCCCCTTAAATGTCTACCCATCCACTGTGCAGAGGGGACTTGCATGTTTTCTTTGTTTCTGGTGTTGTGCTACCTTCTTGCTTCTTGTGTTGCTATACTAAATGGTTTCAGGTTAACCATTTGGCAACCATGTTCCCCTCAAGTTTGTTTAAGGTAAGACCATGTCAGAACTGTGGTTCAAGAACGATTCCAGCACCAGTCCTTCGACCACATGAAATTCACAAGGAATCCTGTATCCTGTTCCTCTGTGCGTGAAATTCGGCATCAGCGGTTTCCATCACCAAAAACCTATGGAATCTAAATGAATCTAAGGCTTCTCTGGTTCCATCTTTGCTGCCCAAGTCCTATCCTCAGATCTCACGGATGCCAGAATCAACTGTTCTGCCCCAAGCAAACCAACACATTACAGTTGGCGGCCGGCGTTTCCACATGCGGATGAACATCGGTGTTTCGGGCCTGAAGAGACGCCCGAGCAGCAAGAACTTTGATGCCGGTGACAGCCCATGATTCCAACATATTCCAATGCATCACCGGCAAACATCTCCCTCAAAGAACCTTCAAGTTCTCCTGTCTCTAAGGAACTTTTTAATACATGTACAGAGCAAGGGTGGATGGCCACCGAAAAGGCCACTGGTGAGGGCTGCAAACGTACCTGCTGATCTAATTAGGGCAACAGAAGGAAATGGTACTCGACACACTTGTGTGTCGGTGCCTTTCCTTCTGTTGTTCCTCTTCTAGTCTAATCTACCCGGGCAGTCTAAGACCAAAGTCCCGCTCCCTAACTATTGCACCTATTTAGGAGCCGCTAAGTAGTCAGTAACTAGTTTTTGTTGAAACCTTCTGTTGACCGGACCCAGCACTTCTTGCCGCTCCCTCAAGTCAAGGGCTAAGTATTCAGTAACTAAAGTGCTAGGTAGTCAGTAGCTAATTTCTGGAACTGAGAAACTGATACAGCTCTTGCGAGCCCTTTTCAAAGTGTGTCAAACCCTGTTTCTAAGGGCTGTTCATGTGCAGGGGGCCATCCCTCTCACCAGTGGTGGATGCCATGCACCGAAGAGGCTACTGGTGAGGGATGCACAAACACACCGGCTCCAATGGTTCTCCCTCCGCGGTGTTGTTGTTTTCATGGTGGTTTTCATACTATTCTCCTAAACCTCCCCCCGCAGAGTTGCTGCTGAGCCACCGCTTTCTGCAAACAAGTGAACCAATTGTTAAACATTCCAAGTGCGCTGACTCCTTCACCGTGCCGTTCCCTCGTCCCTTTCACTGTGGACTATGATACTGGATGAACCTGTGACTAAGTGTGTGCGTGCCGCCTAACGAAACACGGCTCCGGTGTTCTTCGGCTTTCGCCCAACGCAACCCACGGTGCGCGCGGTACACGCACCTCACAGTCGGACCTCGCCGCTGGGGATGGTGAGGTATCGGTCGACCTCGAATCGCAGACCGGAGGCTTTTTGGATAGGTCTTGTTGAAGGGCGTGGCAGCAACAAACTCTCCAATGTCTTTGCAAGAGGGAAGCTTTCGACAAACGGTCAACCAATGTTCTTACCAAATCCGAATTGAGACATCTTTGCAGCCCAGGGGCTGCTCAGCCACCGGAGGGACGCCTGCATCAATCAAATGTCTCTGTAGCCGGAAAGCTGGCGATCCAGAATCGAAGACTCCGGACTTCACAACGAACCCTCGACAGACTCGGCTCGACAGACCCGCGTTGACGCCAGCCTGATCCGTCCTGGCGGGCGGAAGGGCGGACGCAGCTGGGTCCTCCGGTCCACCTCTGGGGACCTCGTGTGGCTCCCACTAAGCGGTAGGGGTGGCCAGCCCTCGTGTTGGGTATCTCATGGGGGGTATGTGGCCCTCATTCTTCTGATTCCGCACCAGTCAAAATGTCCTGCTGAAAGTTCAACAACTGTGGCCGTATCTGGTCAACCCGGCTAATGCTTCTTCCAATGCTGATGATGCATGTAAACATATGTAAACACCACTTTGATTTCTCAACACTTCCAGGGGGTGATCATGACCCCTTCTCTACAAATCGGGGGGTGAAACCACTCCAAGCCATCCAGGGATTGGGAGCCAAAACTCACGCACGCTCCTTGGAGTCTTTCAGCAAAGCATCAAAGCGAGCTTGGAAGGAGGCAAGAAGATCAGCATCTTGTGCACCTGGCATGGCGGTTGATAGGTTGGACGTTCTTAAAGAAGGGTAGCCAACAATTCCTTCTCCACGAGCTAGCGCACCTTTAGGTAGCAACGCCCGTGCAGAACACAAAATCCAGTATCCAAGCTTAAGCTTAGACTCACTTAGTGCGGGTATCATCATCTTCCCAAAACGGCCACTTGAAACGTCTTTGCCCTTGCAAGCCCGGTAGGCAGTGGACAGTGGGACTTGAGGTAAACAATCACCAAAGTCTGAGCAAAGTCTGCCGCGCTTGAGGCTTTTCCTCTCCCAGCAGCAGGATGGCACATGCTCAAGGTGCTCGCAAATTGCGATTCAATGCCCTTCTGTATTCTTTGTTGGCACTACTACGAACATTGCGGTAATATTAGATATTAGATATATAATTAGAATGCAAAAAGGGTGTGCAACACATCGTTCATCATCGTTCTAAACAAATGCACAGCTTTTCCCTCTCTTTTATCTTGATCCGTTGAGGCTTGCCCCCATCTGACTCGCTGCATTTGTTGACACTCTGACGAACACATCACATGGAAGTGGATGGCATGGCCTCTTGGAAGAGCACTTTCCTCTACAAACAGTGGGTGTTCCACTTCCATGTGATGTGTTCATCGGAATGTACTTCTCTGGGTCCTGCCAACTAAGAGCAGGCCAAGCCTTTGCCAAGCTCTTCCTTCCTCTCTGGCGTTGGCCGCTTTGGAGAAGGTCCTGGAACCGCACAAGGTCTGATGGATTCAAATCAAGTACACTCCTGGAATCATCATCGAAGTGGAAAGGGCCTTTGGAAGACCATTTCCCTTTATGAACAGGTGATGAACTCCACTTCCATAATTCCAGGAAAATGTACTGTAGTAGGAATGTTTATAAACCAGGAGTTAAACCTGCGAGTTCCTCGCAACACCCCGTGCACCTGAACACAAAAAGAAAGAATTGTTTTGTCTTGGGATATCTACTCAACTCGGTTTACTCTTGTTCCTGGACTTGCTGCTCATGCATGGTGATGCATCGTGGAGGGATTCATCCACATGTGAAAAGTAACCCTCTCCGGGGATAATGCCTGAGTCAGAAGTCTGCCACCTTGGAGCTGCAGCGAGAAAGGTGAAATACTGGGTGGTTTTGATTGATTGTTGATCCTAAGGTATTCTATACTATGACTATGACGATCTATTTGAATCTATAACCGGAAGATAAATGACCAACCAAGCCCCGCCGAGCCCCGTTCCTGCAGCTTTGACATCACCGTCAGCCACTCGGGCGGCACGATTTGAAGTCCTTAGGCAATGGCTGGGTAGCTGAGTTCTCCTAGCTGGTGGGACCAGCAAATTTGGACGACACTTCTTGACGCGGTCATTCCACTCTGATTCTACGAATCCTATCCACTTGCTCAGCTCACAAAGAAAAAGGAATCAAACGTCCGCATGCGCGTGCTGGCAAGTCGGCCCTCGTGACGGAATCGTCGGCGTCATGGCCAAGCATCGACTCACTGCTGGAGCCTTAGGTGACCACCCAATCCCGCAGGGATTTTTCACACACCGACACCATGCAGCGCCGGTTCGGTCTGTCGGGCAACGGTACAATTTTTGGGGTGGCTGTCTTGAAGCCACCCAACTGATGGGGGTTCAACCAACATGTGCTGATGGTGGGTGCAAGAAGGGCTGCAAGCAACGCAACAAAAATCACGAGCTGCGGCTGCGGACCTACACATTGACAGCAAACCTGGCTAGTTGTAGCCGATCCACGGCTACAGGTGTGTATAGCCTAGTCATCACACATCGGATCGATGAATATAGGCACAACCCAAAGCCATTGCTCATGTGGACCACCAGCACTGCAGGTACTCCTGCAGGCCCATCAAACCACCTGGTTCGATCACATTGACTATATAGTGTAATTAAAACGTAAGGCGTTTCTCAACATTTGGGGATGGGGGCTTTCCGGGGGTTTGCGATGACCCTGTTGTGCCCAAGATGTGTTTTTTGCAAGGGGCGCTTCGCTGCAACTTCTTCGCTTCCGCACCGAAGGTGATGAGGGACATGATTGTGTGGAGATGCGAACTGAGTTCCTGGACCATAGCTCTGGGGGGGGGGCCTTTTTTGTTTGGGAACCGAGACGCGTATCCATCAGCCTGGAAGCAAAATGAATCAACACAGGGGAAAGGGATGGTTTGCAACATTTCTTGTGGAGGTGGTGTGCCATATGATCTGGGACAGGACATGAAGTGGCATGCTTGCAGTGAGGAATCAATCAAATTCTTGAAGGGTGTTGTTTTTGCCCTTCATGGACCTGGTGATGCACATGGTGCGATAATATGGTACGACATTAAAGACATCAACAATTTGAGGTAATTTGTAATCACGCCGTTTCCAACTAATATCACATATGCACCTCTCCTCTCATTCATCCACTGCATGATACTTGTCGGCCTAGCTAAGCATGCATATTGGAAAGTGTTGCAAACACTCTATTTCTGGAAAGGGGGTGTTGTGCATGCTCCAAGGGCCCACTTTAGATCCAACAATGCCTTTGAGCATAGTTCAATCAATCATGCATATTCATGCATATGGCTTACTTATTGTACTCACTCTAGTTTCCGACCTAGAGATGACAAGCACTATGCAGTAGATGAATCAAGAAGTGTATGGGACATATTTTTTGCAGACATAGTTGGAAATCAGTTGGAAGCCCTGAAACATGTACAATTTCAAGGGGGTCGGAAAATAGAGTGATTACAATAAGCTTTACAATAGACAAGCACCATGCAGTGGATATGTCAAGAAGTAAATATGTGCAAACAAATGCCGCAATGTTGGATATGAGTTGAACGCTCTGAAAATGTACAATTTCAAGGGGCCTTAAAAAGAGATTGCAATAAACCATCTAGAGTTATGCTAATTCGGTTACGCATCATCTGGGGTGTTGGCTTGGACATGAAATGCCTTTTCTTGCGCCCTCTCTCGAAGCAAAGGGTGCGGGCCGTTGTCGTCGCGAAGCGACATGAATAGCTTATGTCATACACAAAACCATGTAACAATGCAACACCTATCCCCAAAATGCAATTAGATATAAATACACATATGGTCTTAGTCCTATTTAATCCTTGTCCTTTTGTCATGCATGAGACGAATGTGTCCAGGAAATCTTCGGATGTCCGACTTTGGGTCACCGAGCTGGAGGCTTTGCGCTTTGTTCCCTGCGACGTTCCCCGCCGTTTGGAAACTTCATTGGATGATATCAGCTCTGTTAACTATTCTTGGAGATGTTGGATATTGCATAGACCAAACTCAAAACCTGTTGGATCAAACCAAAAAAATCGGGAGACCCCAATTAGAAGTGTGATGCGCCGTGTTGGACCTGACAATAGGGAAGAACAGAGAGAAACCAGCTACAAAGCTTCACGGGTCTCCCTTGGGGACTGCTCAGTCCCCTACCCAAAATAATTAAACACATATTTTAGGTCTATTCTTAATTACGGGACCTTATATTTTTGACCAGGTCTACAACCCTCACCCTCTAATAATTAGAGATGGGCGGTGCATCATTGGCGATTCATGACCCTTCGGACCCATGGTGGCAGCTGTTTTGGACGATGCAAAAGGTCGAATTGGAGCTATGTTAAAGCTTGTGTAAGAGCTTGTGCACCTATCCAAAATATCAACAAAACCGCCATTCAATAGAAACTCGCAATACAAACACAAGACAGTGGGCCGATCTCACAGAAGAACTGGGAAACCCCTGGCTGCGGGTAACCTGCTTCTTGTATCATCTTGTGGATTCAAAGATGAAGAACGGCAACGTTCAATCAAGCCCTCTTGGGCCATATCTGCTGGTTGTACTGAAAACAAGTGCACCTTCCCAAACATCTGCAGGGCTCACGGTGACAAATCATTTGGACTTGGGTTCGGCATGCATCCAGCCTTTGTCTTCTTCTTGTCTTTCTTATCCTTTCTAGCTTTCCTGATGCTGCAGCTCCGGATCTATTCTCTTGTGTTGGGGTGGCATGGTATGGTATGTATTTAACAACCACAGTTCAGCACGTCAAGCAAAAACAATCCGTGGCCTCAAGGACGCAACACACGTGGAAAGGGTTGCCACATCTTGCCCTGGAAAGGCACTGTTCGATACTTTTCTACCCTACATGCCAAGAACAGAGTCCAAGAACTCACCAAAACCAGCAGCCTAGGCCGGCTATCCTCCAAACTGGTGAAACAGGACCGCTGTCTGTAAAGGAGTTGTCAGTCTTCCAAGATGGTTTGGTGACAATGACAAGGCTTTTGTGCCTCCCGCCGACAGCACACCCTGCACCCCAAACAAGGCCATCCTGGCATGCTTGCCATTCGTCTTTCCCCAAAAATCTGCCAAGTATGATTTGTGGCCATACAAGGAGACAAGAAGAGGCCATGCCATCGGCGGGGTCCAACAGGACCCGTCAAGGCGAAAAGTGCTTTTACTTCTGTCGTTGGAAGAGCCCTGGGATGACTGCAAGCAAGATTCTTCTCTTTCTTGGACTTCTTTGGTCTTACCTGCTGATCCGAGCAGTTCTCGTGCCTTCTGTTTGATTGAGCTTGTTGCAAAAAGTGCAAGGGTCCCAAATGCATCAAACAAATTGAATACGCTATTATGTAACTGTAATGTTCCCAATGTTTGTATGTGCCAGGGCGTATCTAGCCATCAATGACAGTTTTCATCAAACAAGCCAATACGCGCACCACAAATAAGCCAATACGCGCACCTGTGGGTAGTACCCTGGCGCTCCGGGCCAACCCCAAGCAGGATAGCCTCCGCTCCGCTGGAATTGGTCAAGTGTCACGTCTGTTTCTTATACCTCAAAACTGTCACGTCTCACGACATCACGACAACGATTCTTAGTTAACAAATGGTGTATTCATTAGGTAAAGCATAGCACAATCCCCAAATGGTGGTAGGAACCCCTCCCTACAACAAATCTTTGGGGATCTACTCTGGAAGCACTTTAAGTGGAGAATCTTAAGGCCGACCTATTCCGTACCCTCCTTAGTTCGGCTTGGGTAGTCAGATTTGTCGTCCGTGCATTCCCCCGCCCAGCAATAAGACGCAGAAACAAAGGATCAAGCATTACGTAACATGTTGATGAGATTGGCATTATGCCACGGGCTTCCTTTTTGCTCAGAAGCGGGGCTGCCACATGATTTTATTATCATTGCTTCATATTGCTTCAGCTTGAACTTGCCACAAGGAACTTTGCCTCCTGCCATGGTCTGCCATTGGTAGGCATACCATTCTCTCTGCCTTTGAAGCCTCAGTCACATGTTTGCATTTCCACACAAAACCAACATGTCAAAGTCTGACATTCGGAGCCGGAACATAGCCCACTAAATAACCATGTAAAAACCACACACACACACACATACCCGCGCGCCCAGCTAATGGAGGGGTCTAATGCCAACTTCACCAACCCGTTGAGCTGGAAAAAAATCGACCATACCAACCATACTGCCAAGCATTTTTTGGGTGCCTCAGCTCACCCATGTTTCTTCTTGTGTATCTGCTGCAGCAGCTAGGTCGCAAAACCCGCACATAGTGCTAATTCGGCAGTTCCAAAAAGCCCCCAACGGGCACCCACCGAACCGTCCGATGGCCGCGCGAAGAGAGTGGACTAAATAGAGAGACTGATTGGTAAACACGCCTAGTCGCACAGAATGTCTGTGATGCTTACAGTGGGTGTTGCGACCTTGAACAAATACTGTACATGGTGAGTGGAGGTGGTGGGCTTCTGAAAAACGGGACCTGGTTGAAGCATGGGTTGACCTCCCGCAGGATCTACTGCATCAGAAGACGAGTGGATGGTGTGACCCAATGCTAGTATGGCCTCATGTCATAGGGCATCAGATCGAGACATGCGCAGATCGAGGCACGTGTTAGCGTATGGATCCACATACCCTCTGAGAGGGCGATTGGAGACACAGAGAGGGTGAGGGGGCCTGGAGTCGTCCAAGTACCGAAGCTGGCAGCGGATCCCTTATAGGCGGTAGTCGAGGAATGCCCAATTCTGGGAGCCGCTGGCAGCAATTCGTGCCCCAGGTCTGCGACCGTTGGGTTCACTGCCCGTACCTGGTGAGGAGCAAATATTCGGCTGCCAAACCAAGGTGGCTGCGGGGCGACAGCCTTGAGGTCATTGGAGGGAGCCAGTAACGGCATGCATGCTATTAAACATCAGCATCTTTCAGGTATTTTTGGCTAGATCAAGACCTGTTCCTGAATTTCCACTCTGAACTTCGGTCCTAGGCCAGCACCTGGATTTCGGTCCTCGTAGCCAAAACCGCACCGGACAATTGCACGAAAGGTTCTTGTGCAACCCAATCAGTCCCACCATGATCTTGGTGGGCTTGTTGCCTTCACCAAATCATATCTATAGAAATCTTAAAGGCTATACAATGGATGGAGCTTTTCGGCAAAAGTGCCCTTCCCCCAATGGATGGGTGTCGTTCCCGCGCTTCGTGTGATCGCACGAAGCGAAAACCAGTGAGTTCAGGCCCGCCTGCTGCAGAAGGAATTGAACATCCGGCGTGCCTCTCGGGAATGAGCTGCAGACTTCAGCAGGCGCTCACTGTGAGGGACCATGGAGATCCATTGAGGGATTCTAGGAGCTAACTAACCCATCCAACCAATTCTCCATTGAAAAGCAAGGGGGCTGCAGGAGAGCTAATGAATCGTAGCTAAGAACTACTGTAGTAATTTGGCAGACCCAGTCCAAAGGGAAACAAATCCTGCTATGTTTTTGATTGGTTTAAGATCGTTTGAGATTTTGCAGCCAAATCTTATTACGCCAAGCTCTACTGCCTCCAAATAGCCAAACCAACATGTCCCGGACTTCTATCTAAAGCACTTCTGCAATACACTGTACAATCGCTGGGGTAGCATCCATTGGTACAAAAACAATGTCAAACACGTTGAGGCCACCAAATCTCCCGACTTGCCTGGCAATTCGCTCAGGTCGAGCCAATCAAAACACCGACTAGTGCATACATTGGGTCTATCCTATTACGTGGGCCCAGTGGATGATGGTTAGTAGAGGCCTTGTCCAAAAATAGTGATAATTGTTTACTGACTGTTACAGTAGGACTAGCAAGACTGTGGTGATTGGTCTATGGGCCGATGGGCCTCGTATGTCATGCTCATGACTCTTTGTCAATAGTAGCTTTCTAATGCTTTCTAGAAGGTTCCTTTACAAGCAGGGACCCCCATGCAGTTTGTTGGGAGGGAGTGCTGAAGATACAGTTCCAAAAAAACTGGGAAAATTGCCCATGTCATATTCTTGCATCCTTCCATGACAAAAGTTCGAGAAACACCCCCTGTTCCGGCAGATGTGAGGTTCCCGGCGGCAAGTCTTCATGATCCCAGAGGCAACAGTGGCACTCAACATCAGAAAGACCAATTCTACCTGGAGCGGTCTTGAGGAATTCTCAAGGACTCGAGAGAAAAACATCGGATCTCCCAATCTCCCACTGCTTTACGGTGCTCTTCTTCCAGCAAGGGTTTGAAGCTTCAACAGCTCGCCGTCAGTGCTTCTATGATGATGCCTACACAAAGATGTCCATAAACGACCATCAACTCACTGCCCCTCTGAATCTTCACACTTCTTTCCATGGCCTTTGTAGAATAAAGGACTCACCACCTAGGACCCGGGGAAAACATGCAGCACACACGCACACAAAGACACACACGTGCACACTTGTGGCCCGTAAGCCAACACGCGTGAAAGGCGCCTCTCGACCCAGATTCAGGCTCTGCGAATATCTTCTGACCTCCTTGATGAAGTGACTGCTGTGCGCATGTTGTTCAATGAGGCCTGGCGAAAAGAGTCAGACTCAAACCACCCAGCAGAAACGTTAATTGTCCCTTGGGGCAACCTCGCGCATCTAGGCCGAGCTTCACAACACAACTCAAAACGCACCATGCGCACACGCATGAACATACAAACCTGTATGCACACATATAAGCAATGTTCCGATGAATGAATCTCCCCCTAGTTAAAGCTCTGCAGCAAAAAAACACATGTTACTCGTAGGAATGAGTAACTCACAATGATAAACCTCAGATCTGAGGATCATGACAGCTCTTGATGTTTGATGTTTAATTGATCGAAACTAAACAGTAGAATTCACAAATGAGTTAATTCAATTGAATAGTATGTTTACTATTGGCAGGTGTTTATAAATCTATGTTTTAGGTCTTCGCCAGGGGCTCTCTTTCCCCAAAAAACATATAAAGAATTTGATTGGTTTGCGCTAAGTTCAAGTAATGATTTGGCGGAGACAATGCAATTAATTACATTTTTTTAAATCGATAATTAAATCGACTATGTTTAAAGACCTATCCTAGGTTTGATATTGTAGAGGGGTATATAAGTCAACTTTATGATTGATGCTTTACTAATTACGCCACATAAACTCAAACGCAGGTCTATTATTGTAAATGAGAGTAAGTCAAGCTTACTATTATCTATTACTGATGCCGACTAATTGCGCCACATAAGCTCAAAAGCAGGGAGTAAGTCATGTTTAATGTTTGAGCCTACTAATTGCGGCACATAAACTCAAAAGCGGTTATTGTGGAGGAGTAAGTCAAGTTTATAATTGTATTGTCAGTTTTTAGTTCCTATTATAGGCACCAGTTCTTATTTGACCGAATTTATATATTGTATATTGTTGTTTTGACCGGCTCTCTATTTTCAACCTACTGAAAAACCCGGTTTATTGACAGTAGTTTATTGTTGAATGATTGTTGAATGTTTTCGGTAGCCAGGAAATGTTTGAAGAACACGTTGGTGCTGCTGCACTTCATAAGTTGAATAAGCAGAAGGCTCTTTTTATGGGGGCCAGTGTTCCAGGTCTAGAAAAACATAATGTATAATTTACTATTTAGATGTGTGCAATGTGAAAAGTGTATCTTAAACATATGATAGATTCAGGAAGATATCTAGATAGATAAATATAGATCGATATAGGTGTAGATATAGATATATATATATATTGTATGTAAAAAATAGATAGATAGACAAATAACCAAATATATATATATATATCCAGATCCAGCCGAGCATGGTAACCACTGAAGGCAAATCTGGCAAAACAAGTTTCAATTGGAACGACAGTCTCTGGTTTTGTGCTTAGGCTGGGCTCCGGCACATCATGGTTCCAGCCGCTTCTTCTAGCTTCCCCGGCCCTTTAAAGAGCCACAAATCGGATAATAACACTCAACGCAAATTGCCATCCCATCTGGAGAATGGGCTGTCTACCTTGAATGGACGGAGACACACAAATCAAACACAAAATGCAGTGCTGGCGGTCCTCCACTATGCAGCATTCAACTTCTCACTCCGCATTGAGTGCTGGTTTTTAAACTTCACACAGCGTAATTACCAAAGGAAGGTAGAACAGGTATATTGAACATCTATATTATAGGAACATATAGGAACTAGGAACCATCAAGATTTTGCCCCTGATTCTAGTGAAGGATGCTTCAAAGCTCAGAACTTCAACGGCTTTCCACAGGAAAGGAGTTTCCGTCCTCCAACCCCAAGGGGCACAAACGCATCTGCAAAGAAACACCCAGCATGTCATCCAAACCCTCCCAATGACGTCTCTTTTGGGAAGGATAGAGGGGTCGGTTTGGTACAACTTACCAATTGGTTGTATACTGGGGGTATCACCAACCATACTATTTGGTTAGAGGCCATTGCTTCTAGGTTTTTTCGGCCATCGCTAGTTACTAGTAGGTTGGAGGCCGGAATTGCTGTTCGGTTGGAGGCCAACGTTCTGAACGGTTGGTTTATCATAAAAGGTCATCTCCACCGTGCAGTGCCCGTGATCCGCCGTGCAGTGCCCGTTGCGTGCCTTCCACTCGCCGCATCAGTGGGCTGCTGAAGACCGCCTCAGCTGTCAGGGCTCCGTGACGGTAGTGGGACCCGCCCAGGGCCACGGAATCCGAGGCGGTTCATCCAACCAATCTGGACGATGTGGAAACCCGACTCTTCTATGGGTTTTTGATGGTTTTTGTACAGCCAATCAATAGGACTCCCTCAGATTGGGAGGCACGCACTAGGAACCACCAAGCAATTAAAGCACATGAAAAGACAGTAGAACTGCTGCAAACAAACGAGAAGAACAATTATCGCTGAGTGGACCTTCACGGGTGAATTGAGGAATGGCGAAGGTCAGTGACAAACTTGCAGGTTTGATTCAAGGCATCCCTTCGAATAAAGCAAGGTCAGGCATGACCAACCCTGCAGATTCTGATTTCCTCAGCCTCAGCTTCCCTGAGGAAATAGAGCTAACATGTTTCCATAGTGGTGGTTTATATGGACCCCCATCTGTCTAGGACATCATGGGGTGTGTGCCATCGAGCCTCTGAAACCGCTGTTTACTGGGGAAACCAATCCCCCAAGGTCTTTGTGCACATGATCCACTTCTGCTGAGCCTTGGGCGGCTCGAGCCAGAAGGAAACCCGTGACCCGTGAAGACATGAGGCGACCCGTGACGACCGGTGGGTGAGCCGACCCTGGACCGAACACCGGTCGTTTTCATGTTGGGAACCCACATGTTCGGAAGCCACATCTCCTGTGGGAAGGCCTTACCAAAGGGGGTTGGTTGATGCAGCCAGCAGCTTTCTGAAAGGGCGTTGCTGTTCTGGAACATCGGCCACGGCAAAGCAGAAAAGCTGTCCCACCATGTCCCACCCCCTTTCAGTGCACGGACCAACCAATTTTTGAACAAATCCTGTCCAGGTCCAGCTTCACGGTTTCTTCGTCCTGGTTGGGGTAGTGTGGATCAACATCAAACAACTGATGCTCTCGCAATGCATGGTCCAACTCGCCAAGTGTCAACAACGCCCTCGGTCTGTCTGCCGAGGCCGTTGCAGTGCGAACAGAACGAGTTTTGGAAGGGGCTTCCTGGCGGCGAGCATGCAAACATATAGCCGTTCTCATCCAAAGTTCTGTCTCAAGGGACTATCCCCTCTAGTCTTAGTTGATCTGGGTGTGTATGTTTTTACCGTAGTCGGGCCTATGATTCGCAGATGATTCGGAGCTTTGAAGTTAAGTTATATTGTTGGATTAGCTGGACTTCCAGCAGTGGGCCCACTCTGCGCCGAGGCAGTAGGCAAGCAGCATCTGTTGGATGCCGGGCAGACTGGGCAAATGCACTCTTCCACCAGTGGCGCTCTGCAGGCCCCACCAAAACAACCAGGATGTGGGTTTGGTGGGAGACTGTGTGGAGGCGCGTGCTTCGGGTATGAATCGGGCATGAATCGGGTGTGATTCGTATGGCCAGCAAAAGAAGGCGGTCCTTTCGCTCCTCTTCCCAAGGGAGAGCACATGGGAACATTATGAGTACCCCTGGGATGTGAGCCTTTGCTCCCCACAAGAAGACACAAACAGTTTTGGCCAAAAACTTCACCTTAACACCTGGTTCTTACGTGTAACGTTTTGAGGGGTATGATTCGGTGGTATGATTCGAGGTGTGATTCGAGGGTATGAATCGCTCAAGTCGGACTTCCAACCACTACATCAGGAAGTACACGCCAAAAAAATACAAACCCATCTATTCAATTCTGATTTTCTGGTTGTTTTCTATCCTTCAGACAGTCTCCTTCATCATATTAAAGCATTAATTCTATTACCAGTGGCCCCGGCCCACATATGCCCTCATCTAAGGAAGGGGCTCAGCATGACTCCGCCATACTCCGCCTGTAAGAGTGCATTGGGTTTTGGTTTCCCTAGCGATGCCGTGCCCAGCTCCCTGAAGACCCCAGCTCCCTGAAGACCCTTCGGACAGAACGTCAGGAGTCAGGACCCCAAAACGCCGGGACGACTGTTGGACCGGCCAAAGTGGAATGACTGAGACAAACATACGTCCCTAGGCCCTATAGGCCCTAGAGATACATGTTACAAGGATCCTGCAACCGTGTTTGATACCATGACTCAACTCCGAAGTGCTTCAATTTCAATCTGGGAGGCTCACCAATAGTATAAAAGGGTCACCACATGCTTCCGGATTCATGCTGGCAATTGTGGGGAGGTGTGAGGAGCTTGCGAGCGGAGCTTCCCAACAACTCACGCCTGGGCCGTTTTGGTCTCCGAATCCTCCTGCCATCGGTGCCAACGACTCACCGACCGGACCTGTTTCTGCAAGGAATGACAGCTCAGCACCCCGTAAACCCTGCATTTCACCCCAAACGACTAGAAAATATTCATGCAGGAGTGCGATAAATGATTCTCTAAACGGTATTAGGTTAGAAAGCAGCCCGCAACAAGGGCCCATGGTACCAAACAAACTGCATTGCTTCTAGCTGGCACTCAGCTGTCCCACGTCCTTACTCTTGCGAGGCTCTGCGTCACCCTGCCGCATGCAGACCGGTTTCTAGATCCCCCTTATTGCGGGAACCCCATGCACAAAGTGGTGTCTTTTCTAAATTTGTTTGCCATCGGGCGGGCCAATGCTGCAATAGTTTCCATGTGATCGCCGTGGAATGATGGAAACACAAGAATGCTCATCCCGACACAGCCACCAAACTTTGGGGAGACCAACGTTTCCCAGGACATATTTGTGGATCAGTGCATCACAAACATGGCGCCACAACAAAAATTGAAGGTCCAACAAGTCCACTGCAAATTTGGAAGCACGTGCAATAAAACACTCTTTGCAAACATCATGGAAGTGGACGGCGCCACCCGTTTGGTTTTCTGATCTCATGGTTCTCTTTTCGTGGCCATGCCATCCACGTAACGCAATATATATATATATACATATATTTGTATATTTATATACTCCAAAGGTGCATCTATGGAATATACCTGTATATATGCCTACAAACATATTCGCCGACCCTGGTCTAGAACGATGAACGTGAGCGCAAGCGGAGCAGGGCCGGCGTGTTCCTCAGACGGGTTCTGGTGAGCGGTGGGTGATGCCCACATTGCCAAACACCTGCCCAAAAACATGACAAATGAAAAATTCGAGATGTCGCTGACCGTAAAAATATGTTTTGCGGGAAAAGCGTTGCCCAGGATTTGGCCTTGGGTCCCCAGTCCCGCCAGGTGGTGCAGTCCAAACATGGTTTTCGGAGGCGCACGCACGAGCCATGACACTTGGGTGCATTCTGACCTCGTCGGCAGAGGTCCAAAGTTCCGGTACGTATGCCCGGTATGGGCATGCCAGGGTCTCATGGAATGTCGCGTCTGGGAAATAATTTTGAGGTCTCTGTCTATCTGTCTGCCTTCTGTCGGTCGGTCGGTCTGTCTCTGTCTATCTGTCTCCGTCTCTGTCTCTGTCTCTGTCTGTCTGTCCCTAGGCCAATCTATTTTAGGGCGCTACTGAACCTCGATCTTGGTCCATCGGCGCTTCTGTTGGTAATGTGTGTATATATATGGTTATATAAACGATGCCTACATTGACCCCCGAACCACCCCATTGTAGGTACATAGGCCGTACCGTACATGGATGGGTATGTTGTGGGAGATGAGCCCAACATTTTGAAAAGGTTCCGTCAGCCAAAACCTGCCTTTCCTACATGAATGCACATGGGCACAGCTTCCTCAGGCCGTCCACAAACCAAAAAGCCTTTGCTTTTGCTTATGTCAAGTGAAGCAATATAATAGTCCCGTGATGCTCCAAAGCCCTTCATGACAGGCAACAACAATCTTGATGTATGTAATTCAAACATCCCTTGCCATCCCTGATAAACGACAACACATTCACGCACAAAAAACAATGTTTATATAAGTTTTTTGAAAAAAATAGACCCAAAACAAAACTCTTGTACTCCTCTGAGCTTGATCTCCATATTGAGTCAAGAACTCCCTGCAGCTCCAGTATAGCTACCCCTCTTGAAGGAAACTGACCCCCTGCTTGGACCCCCAAACCATCCCGAATCGCCTCTTGCTCTGGACCAACATTGCCCAGGGCGATCCCTCGACGTCGGTACCCGGCCGTGCCTCGATCAAGATCACTTCCTAGGGAGACTTGTGTGGGTGCTTCTTCGGCATGCACCCGGCCCATTCAACGGTTGGATCACCCAAAGGCTGCGAGGAAAAAAAAGGAGGGTCATCTTTGGGAAAGCAAGATGGGAGGAACACCTAGTTTGGAGTAGCATCTGAACACATGAATGGACATGAATGGACCATTTTGAACAGTGTAGGCGCCACTTGGGTGCTTGATGGCGTCTTGCATTTTCCAATCCACAATATTTACCCTGGGCACGATGTGCAACCCCCCACCAAAGTGATGAATTTGCTCACCCTACCCTTGCTCCCAAAACACCTACAGTGACCTACAGCAGTTTTTGACAAGCTGATACAATATAGATGATACAGGTCCATGTACCATTGGATGTGTAAATCAACTCCTCTTTAACAGGTGCGGAACCGCATGGCAACAGCACAGAACATGCGTAGAGTCACTGGTTGGCCATTGCATCTGCTAGATCTTCACCCTTGCATCACCCGATTGACCCCTCCAATCCCGGACTTGGCACCGGCCTCTTTCTTTGTGGACTGGGCCGACTGCCGAGGCCCCTGGGGAGGCTGAGCAAAAGGAAGAAGAACAGGACAACTGCGGTGTCCTCTACAGGAGTCTCGGGGAACTTTCTCTTTTCGCTCCCTCACCATTAGCATCAATTTGCTTATGGCACAAGCGTGGGAGGAGGCAGCTACGTCATGTCGGGATGAAGGCCTTATTATATGTATATAACGACATGTACATATAGTTAAAGTGTCTTCACCACCAGTACGGCCAGTGAATTCTCCCGTTGGATGTTAATTTCCCCTCCTGGAGCAGAACATTGACACCCTTCGGTTCTCGAACATGTGCCTCAGGGAATGCAAGTCTTGGCACGTACGTGGGCCCCGCAAGCACAGACGTGGGATCCTGCTGGGGACAAGCTGTTGCAACGCCGATTCGGGGCTGCAGTCAGCCTGTCTGGCACTTTTTTCGATGTGAATAGAGAAAGCAAAAGTTGAGGAAGAGCGTTGATTTGCTGGGTCAATCTTTTCTGCGTCTTGTGCATGTTGTGTCGCGCCACATGAGCATATAGATGTTTCCAAATATCAGCATAGCATGTGGAAACGGACTACAGCGCTCACACATCAATAATGGCTTGGCCATGTGGTTTTGTAGAATGTGTTCTTGTTATTGATTGTTATCACAGGTTATCACAGGGGCATTATATATCTGTATATGTATATGACAAAAACAACTGTTCTTCTGTGCAGTGGGTTTCCAAGGTTCTGCTGTGACGGATCCTTCCTGGGGCGTTGCTCATGCGGATGAGTCAGAATGCACAAGAACCTTAATTGTACATTGTTGCCCTCTATGTGTTTGGATAACTCCATCATATGTGTTTGTGTTGTCTCATGCATTCTCCTCTAAATGTAATGCAATCTCAAACCCTGGGGCTCATGCCATGCCTGAATCCATGACACACTTCGTCGACAAGGAAGGCAATCCAACAAAAGCACACACAAGCGGCCAAGCAAGCGGTTATGAATAGCACAAATGTCCTTCACAAAAAGAAGGCCTGCACTAAAGGCTCAAAGACTTCCAGGAAACTCAATAATATAAAGTGCATTGTGGTTGATTTCACATGATTTCACCATTGTGTCGCTTGATACAACTTCCAATGGACTTCGGCAAGATCTTGACCCCATACATGTCCACCACTTTTCGGCGCTATATTTCTGCGCGCAAACTGCGGTCGAACAAAGCCGTGGACCGTCCATCCTTCCCGTCCTTCGGCTCGAAGCGCGCCACCAGCTCTTGAATCTGCTGCCGCTGCGTCTCGGGAGTCCAATGCCGCTCCTGTTGCAGAATCTCCTGTCCGCCGCATGAAAGGGACGGACGCGGAGGATCCGATGCAATTATCAGAATTCAATATGAATTCATGCTTAAGGCTGAATGATCAGTGGAACTGCGGAGGCTTTTGAGGTGACCCTACTCAGTTAGCCCAATATGTTTGTGTGGCATTTCGGGGGATGTCCGCTTCAGTGCATGGAAAGGAACACTGCAGAAATGAAAGGATGGCCTGTGAGATGATTCTGATTCTAACCAGCTGCTCTGTGGCTCTGTGCTCCTAGTGCTTGGTGGGGCCACCCTGGGGGTAAGGTTACTTCTAGGGCACTGGACATCTTCAAGGACATGTTATGCATTCCTCCTTTCCTGATACGAGGAGTTTAAGAATGAATAATGGAGGATGATGCAAGCCGCAGGCCAATGTATTTGCAGGTCGTCAGGCTGAATGGCAAAGTCCTCTGCTCACCTCTGTTGGGCATCCAGGAGATTTGTTCTTCTCTAGCACAATTCAATCATCCGCAGAACCAAGCCCCCGAGAGAGGATGTCTTGGTGGCAGAAATGGCTATGACTCGTTGGGAGGAGGCAAGTATTGAAGTTCATAAGTTGGATCTGAACATCATATGAACTTCCAAGCAGAAAAGACGACACTCACTGAAAGGCTTTCAAGGGGCCACCCAATCCAATTCAGAGTGTACCCTTTGACTCAGCCTTTAACCTGTGCGACTGTTGTGAAAGACCTGAAGAAGCATGCAAAACACATTTCAAGGCCAACGGGGCCACGATTCCTTGGAGAGCACGGGAAGCTGATCAGAAGCACCAGGCAACGGCCACTACGTTGATAATAGATACTTGGACTGCAACGATGCTGCTTTTAAAAACATATATATATATATATGTGATATAAGTACAAAAACATACACACACATACATATATATATATGTTATATAGTATGTTGTTACTATAATTGAATATCATCGGCGCCGCAAATTGGAACCCCTCAATCCCTATCGTCATTGGGTCCGCGGCCACACCCGCGGCGTTCCACGCCGCAATGCCTCGGTGGTCGTCCTGGATGGCCTGGCGTGGAAGTGCTCGAAGCCGCAGGGAGGTCTCGCGGTCCAAGTCACAATCATCTTCAAGGTCCTGGATGCGTAGGGTGAATAGACATTGGAGCGCCGAAGACGAATGGAAATGGAATGAGATTGAGATTTTGGACAAACCATTCATTGTTTTTGTTATTGAAGTGGCCTTGCAATGTATTATATAAATCATCAGGTCATGCCACACCACAAACATGAGGGAGTGAGTACTAGGGTCAACTTGTGTTTTTTGTAGTTCGGGGCAACCCTGTATTTTTTACAAATCACCTTACATAGTTTGGAGTTAAAATGGGTAGCGGGATCTAGAGGTCGGCCCAAAGATCTAGGGCCTCAGAGATCTAGAGCCTACAGCTCTAGAGGTCTGCAGGTCTCAGAGCAAAGCACTTGTAGAAAATAAGACCACCCAAGCAAAATGTTTCGGCACACATGAGAGCACGCGAATGCTGCGCCTACCACGAAATCGGCACTTCGAGGTTCACTATAAGTGCCGCGCCACCCACGAAATACGCACCTCTAGGTTCACAGGGTGCTGCGAGTGTCACGACAGTTCACAACATGCTTCGCCTGCCACACATCAAGATTCATACGCGCACCCCTGCCAAGGCGTTTTGCAACGAAAGGATATCTAAAGACACAACATCAAGATCCAGCACGGTGACATGTCATGAACCCTGACAGCATGATGCTCCTTGTCCGCAAGTCATGCAGCACCCATGTACAAAATGTACAAAGTCTGCTTTGCTTTCGGGTGACGACTGCATGGTTGAGCAAAGAGCCTGGCTTTCGCGGCTAAAGCTGGCTAGCTTTTGTGCTTCGAGTGGTTCTGGACGATGTCGTGACCATTTGCGCGGAGCCTTTTGCCTTTGACCAGGACTAGACGGCTCAGCTTTCTGGTGGAGCACCTTTTCACGGAGAGCTGAGTTGGCACAAGGGCACTGTAAAGAGTTTGGCAATGTTTGTTTGACCCCAGTTGTCCTCTATATAGGGGGCGTTACTGGGGCCGTTCTGTTTTTCACCAACAGTTTGGTTGAGAACTATGTCAGAGCTATATGTATACATGTGGGAAAATTGCGACAAGACTAAGAATCGGAGACTTGTGAAGTTAAGTCTGGAATCCAGGATGTTGCTTGTTGCATTGCCTTGCTGCATTTTTGTCCCTCTTTTTATTCTATTTTTCGTGTCTACCCTTAGAGCTAGTGCTGTTGACCTTGTCTCCAAAGGGCGGGGTTGGGTGATACTCTTCTTCTTGCGTGGCCGCTTCTGTCTTGAGGAAAGGCTTGGTGGCAAACTATGTTGCAAATGACATTGTAGTCCATGCTATTAACTATATATGTTAAGGGAAACATTTGTTGCGTTGTTGCGACAATGTTGGTGCAAAAAACTATGCAAAGGTTAATGGCGTTCTTAGTTTTTTTGGACAAGTAAAAACTGTTCGCTAAAATTTGATTTTAATAAGCAACAAGGTTTCCAACCACAATTATGTTAATTGTTCTTCAGCTATCAACTGCGGAACATGCTTCTGTGAATGTTATTATTGTGTCCTCCTGGCGGGTGAGACATGCTCTTCAACTTCTGCGAGTTATGACCATAGCCTACCATATCATGACATTGAGGCTGTAGGTAGATCTGTGTAGAACCATCTTGTAGCCAGTGTGTGTGTGTGTCCACACCTGTGCCTAGGGTTTTGAGTCGTACAGGATGCTACTAGGGCCCCTGGTTCTGCTACTAAGGGCTTCCGGTATCGCTACTAATTTGCAGTTTCTTCACGCGAAGCAAAAAGAGGCAGGGGCGTACGGCTCGTCATACCCACCGTACGCAATGAAGCTACGGTATGACGAGGGAGGGGTGGACTGATCATCCACCTGTACCTGCTCAACTTTAAGTTTTGCTGAGTTGACTGAAAACACGTTTAAACCATACTGTTGTCGCTGACTCTTTCACCTTGCTGTTCCCTCACCTTCCTTCTCGACGTGGGAATTGAGCTAACTGAAAACCAATGTCAGAGTTTTGAACCGCTCAGCCGTCCCACTTGGGTGCTGGGTGTGATCCCCGTGAAAGGGGCGCCGAAATGCGCCGAAGCCATGCAGGAAATCGTGTAACCGACTTTCTCTGTCCACCACTCCTTGGAATTTCATAACAGCCTTCGTTTCACCACTGAATTAACCGCCTTTCGAGCCGCCGGGCTAATACGGTTACCACCTTTCGATTACTGAGCCCTGATTTCACATGGAAACATGCGTCTAAGTATTCACAGGCGGGTGTACACACGGTGCCTTTGTTACATGTTTTTCATGCTTTTCGGTTCTTTCTCTCCTTTTGTTGCTTTTCGTTTCTTGAGGCCTTTCTTTAGGTTCCAGGTGTCTTTCAGAGAAGGGTGCGCCGGCCCAAATCGGCTATACTTGAAAGCCAATGATGGCAAGGCCTACAGGCCACCCTCCCTACCCCTGGGCCTCGGTTGCTATCCCACCCGCTATTCGGGCAACGGAAGGAAATCGCACTCAACACACTTGTGTGTTGGTGCCTTTCCTTCCGTTTCCCCTACTCTATTGCTAGCTACCAGGGCGGTTCAAGACCAAAGGTCCCGCTCGCGTTCTACTTTCATGTAACTAAGTGGGCCTCGTAACTACACCTATCTTTCCTTCTTGCCCTCTTAGTCTGCTTTTGTTTTGTTTGCTTTTTCTGTCCTTCTAAGGCTTTTTAGGTCTCTAGTAGCTTTCAACAAAAAAAGCGCCAATATTGGCGCTTTATGTACAAAGTTTTGCGACCAGCGGACACCAATGATGCTACTAGGGGCTTCTGGCCTCGCTACTAGGCGCTAGGACGGTTCTACCAGGTTGTAAGGACGCTACTAGCGACTCCTGGCCACGCTACTAAACTGCAAGCAAGGGTCAGCGCGCCGAGTACGGCTTCGTGTGTGTGTCCACACCTGTGCCTAAGGTTTTTGAGTCGTACAGGATGCTACTAGGGCCCCTGGTTCTGCTACTAAGGGCTTCTGGTATCGCTACTAACTTGCAGTTTCTTCACGCGAAGCAAAAAGAGGCAGGGGCGTACGGCTCGTCATACCCACCGTACGCAATGAAGCTACGGTATGACGAGGGAGGGGTGGACTGATCATCCACCTGTACCTGCTTAACTTTTAAGTTTTGCTGAGTTGACTGAAAACACGTTTAAACCATACTGTTGTCGCCGACTCTTTCACCTTGCTGTTCCCTCACCTTCCTTCTCGGCGTGGGAATTGAGCCTAACTGAAAACCAATGTCAGAGTGTGCTTGAGGTTAACACGTTGATTATGGTTCACGCACTCAATGCCCCATCATGTGCCGATTGCATGAGAAATCGTGAAACCACTGAAACCAACCTGTACTGACGTGTATTAGCACATGCTTGTGACCGATTCACTATATACTGGAAAGCTTGGCCGCAAGACTTGCTTCAAAGTTGGACAAACCTGCAAGCTAAGCTAAGCTGCAAACCAAGTAAAGTAGAAACATGATCCATTGGTCAGTAGGAAAATGATCCAGTCAATTTGATTATGACTGACTTTTAATTACAGCTTCGTGTCACTGGTTGGAAACTGTGCTACGGCACGGTGACTTACGGCTTTAACATAGTCTGAGCTTGTTGCTGTCCGGCCGTAGCCCTTGGAGAATCATAATATTGAAATGATCACTGCGCACTAGATTTATCCCGTCACAAGCATCATCCGGAAGACTTTTTAAACTTTGCAAGGCGTGGCTGAGTTTTTCCACTCCTGAAATTTGAAGTTTTGACTTTTCTCACTATTGCCCCCCCGCCTTCATCAGCATTCGGCTTTCGTCTCTGCATTTAATATATTTCATTCTCCCCATTTGGGCTTTGATTCTTACACTGCGTTTGTGAACTTTTTCGCATATTTCGGGCTTGTGCTGCTCCGAACTGCTGAATGGCTCAGTCCCACCCATTCAAGTTTCAGCTTGTGCCCCGCGGCCCAGCTAACTTTTGAACATAGCATTAATTCAATATGTTCCGTGTTTTGTGTTTTCTATCGTTTCTGCTTCGCACTTCTTCCTTTCTTTGCGAGACGGTTTGTTTTGCAGCCACACATTGCCCAACGCAAGATCGTGTCCAAGGTCAAGAAACACCTTCGAGAGCTCACCTCGGGCCTGGGCCATTCGCAAGAACTCCGCCCCAAACAAGGGTTCTGAAGATGAAGACTTCTCATCTATAATATATTATATATGAAAACCTTGTCTAGCCACTATTCCATTCCCAAAGGGTTCTTGAGAAACAAAGATTGAGACCCACGCTTGAACTTGACATAAGGCATGCTTCGTTTTTGGGTGAAGGTGAGTCTAAGGCTAAGGAGTCGACATTGAGACTTGGCTGCAGCAAGTGATCGTTTGAGGATCATTATATCAACAGCTCCTGACGCTGCGGAGTGCTCAGAAATTAATGTTTTGCTGCAGGGAGGAACTTCCCAAGTTTCACCCCGATGTTTCACAAATTCCTTTCCAGTGTTTTGCTGTATAGTATATACGGGAAAATAGGTTTTCCCAAGCTTCCTCCTGCTTTTCTCATGTTGTTTTCCTTCCCAAACTTCATCCCTGCCTTGCATTTCTGTAGAGCAGAGATAGAGAGCAACCAGACTTCAAAATTAAACTACAAAAATCCGATGCAACTGGCTCAAACCAGCACTGTTGGCCAAAGGAGCGCCGTTTCAGTGTTTGGTTTTTGAAGGACGGCTTGGTGCGCAGCCTGCGCTATAGGTGCACCATGCGACGGCAAGCGTGGCCATGGCAAGGGCGGTCGCTGTCACTGCAAGGGCCATAGACTTGGCAGTGGACACCGGCCTGACGCGGCACAAGTGTGCCGGGAAGCCGGAATGCAGAGGCAATTGCAGGAGGAGATGGCATAGCCCAAAGGCCAAACGACTAGCAGCGCCGTAAGAGTGCTAAACGGAAGCTGGTGTGTTTTTGAAAATGCTTTTGCACCCTTGGAACACACTCTCTAACACCGGCGTCGTGAAGAGCGAAAAGGTCGCAAAGGACAAAGAGTTGGAAGATGAGAAGGAGAAGCACAAGAGCAGAAGGACGAGGCGGGCTGCCAAGGTCTTTGGAATTTGTAACACTTGAATTGCACGACCCCTCGGTGTTCAACAAGAATTGCGCAAGGCAGCAGCTTGTTCAGAACCCTTCAACAATTTCTTCGATCCTTCCACGAGCAGGTGAAAGAGATCAAAGATCTCAAAGAGCAGGTGCAGGGGCGACAGCTTTGCGTGCACTGTGTTTGAAAGGCGTGCCCTTATTCCCTCTCTCACTTTCTGTGTTTCAGCTGCAAATTGTTGCTATTTTGTACGGCAACGACACACCAACCCAACCCAACCTCAACCCACCCACCAGCCAACCAACCGATTAACAACCGACACGGACACGCTATAAACAATTTCCCACCAACAAAAATGAGATGCTCTGGACCTTGCCGGATCTCAAGATCTCATCTCAAGAGCCCTAGACCTCTCTATCTCCAGATCTCTTGGTCTTGATCTGTCTGGATCTCAAGACCTTAGGCCTTCAGATCTCTAGGCCTTTAGATCTTTCTTGACCTCTAGTTCTCTAGATCTGTCTGGGGCTCAAGGCAAGGCCTCTAGACCTCTGCATCTCTAGACCTCTAGATCTCTCTGGAGCATACGTCTAAATCTCTAGACCTTCTGCTTCTACACCTTTAGACCTTAGACCTCTAGACCTCAAGGTCTCCGACATGAAACTCTGGGCAGATGTGAGTGATTCTCTCGCACGTACACTTCTCATGCAACTCTGTTTTAGGTCTTGCCGGGATAATGACTCTATATGCCCTGATTTTTGGCGTTGACCAATAGATAGAAAGCAGGTTGCCGCACGGCCACCGCCTCGCAGCCCGTCCCACCCATAAAGGCAATCCTTGATTTCCACCAAGAAGTCTTCCATCGTGGAATCCCCTGGAATCACGAAGTGGCGCCCGAACCGTTTCCCAGAAATGAAAAGAATCGTTGTCCACCTGTTCTGGTTCAATTAGTGGGGACACCGATTCCCAAAAAAGGTCGGGCAAGCGGGGAGGCGACCCTGGATGCGACCCGTGCGGGAGAGTCATCCCTGCGACCTGGCGTAGAACAAGCATGGTCCAAGATGATGCAAAAGAGCATATACATTATATATATATATACGTAGAAGAGGCTCTCAGTGGCATAGGCCTTATGTCGACCTTTCGATCGGCTACCATATATATATATATACTACTGTCTAATGACTTAGGCCAACGTGATGCAAGTGACATACCAATCTGGCTACCCCCAGGGCTAAGTCATGTGCCCTGACATATCGAGCAAAAAAAATGTCTGGGTTGGGAAACCTGGTGTCATAGGACCTGTGGACACCTCCTCGACAAAAAAATGTAAAGAACCAGCTAAATAATGCTAGATACCACTGCCTGGCACTCTGGTGACACAGTGGTGACATAGGGCGCGACTATGTGTTGCTTCCTTGAATACCTCATACATATTTCTATGAATATCATGGTTGTGGCCTGATGACATAGGCCTTAAGAGGAAATGCCAATGTTGGATCAATCCTGATGACATAGGCTTTTGGAATTGGCGTGTATGTCCGACAAGTCCTAAGTTACTAGTCAGTAGTATATATATATATACACTGTACTGTACTGTGCCCTTTTCAAAGGCCAAACACTCAGGGAAGGAACCCAATTGCTCACTCAGCACCCACATTGATCCTGATTTAGATGTTGCCGATGCCGGAATTCACCACAAGCCCACAATTCTGGTTGCCCAGATTCCATTGGATTCTCTAGCAGCTCAGCCCGTTCCATCCTGCCGCCATTGTTTGGTGCAGCTTCGGAGCCGGGGGCGGCCCCCACCCCTCTTAAGGGGCTCCCCAAACCGGCCGGGTCGGCGGAGCCGCGCACGTGCACGCTGACGTGTCTCATAGAGATCTGCCGTGGGCGGCTCGGACATGATGAGGTCCGCAACCTGAAGGCGAGCTCGGAGCGAGTCAAATGAGATGCACAGGTCTTAGTACAAATGAAAAGGCTTGAACAGTAGAAAGTTCCTGCTTGAAGCAAGTGAGTCTACGTGGACAGGACTGAAACGTAACACATCAACACACAAAAACATGTTGTTTGGCCTGAGCTTGTTGACATCAGCATTATCCTTATTTTCAGGGGTGCGTCACCCCAAAATTGGCCATCACCGTCACAATGCCCGTTTCAAGAATACTGCATCTAAAGTCCACAAATCTCCCTGCACCAGGTACCTCACGGTCAGACTCTTCCCGTGGCCATTTCAAAGGGCAAGCACGGGCAGCACAAAAACAACTCGCACAATCATCAGCCCAAACATATGCCCCCACACACAAAAAATAGACACTATCACGACAATCATCAATGACCTACCGTGCTTTTCCAGGGTAGTCTCCCAAGATCCCCATCACCTCCGCAGCTCAGGGAACCTCCGGATTCAGCCTCTCGAGTATCTCCATATCCTGGTGCGGACGGCCGTGCGGTGCGGTGCCCCGTATCGGAGTCACCCAGTGAGGACTTCGCCTCTGAAACGCCCAAACGAGCCCCAATGAAGTCGGAAACAGAAAGCTGCTCCAAATCCTGGTGCATTTGAGCTGGTTGGGCTGTCTGACTGGGTGGGTCGGTGGAAATTGAATATGTGCCAGGCCCATGGTCCCCTTTTCAGTGCCCGAATGCAAGTATGCCAGTCCCATTTTCTGTGTCTGCGTATTGGAAATGTGAAATGGTGGTCAAAAATGGAAGGCACTACAACTATATAGACCCCTCAAATAGATAGACAAGTAAAATCCTTCTCAAAAGGTACGAGTATCTATATATTTGGGGACCACTATATCCTCCTGCAGCAAATGCAGATCTCGTGATTGTTGGGTCGTTCTTCACAGGAGAAATGAAGGAAGCGTTCCTCCGGTGACCAGGTGTCACCGGCTGAACTGCTCTGATTCAGTGAGTTCATGGCTGACAGTAGGGACCCAAGGAAACGTGTGTGAAACACACGTGGCGTGATTTTTGTCGCATTGTAGTTTGCAACAAGATAAGGATACATCATTATTCTGAATATTCATAATTTAAACACAACACGTTTTGTTTTTTTAATATATGATTACGCATGTATTTCCTTGTTGGTGATCAGATGTGATCAGCTATGTTAAATGCTTGCCAGACTTTGGACCACTGGGTCCCGAGCGTGCCCTTGATTACCCTTGAGGGTTTGGTGTGCACTGGTGGTTGTCCCAGTGATTTGGCAGTCCCGGTGATTCGGTTGGCGCTCTCTATGTCCTCTGAAACTATATGCCAGTGGTGGAATAGAGGGTTCCGGATAGGATCCTTGTGCAGGCTCCCGTGCTCCTGTTTCACTCCCGTTTCAATTGGGAACTGTTGGCCTCATTGCAGACTTTCCGCATTTGGGGCACCCCCAATGACACAGCATCTCCGAGAGACTGATCCGAAGTGACGAAAGAAAAACTGAACAAACTGAACATGAGGAATGTGAGCACGTGGCACGTGGAACAACCAAAGGCTTAAACAGGTCATGACGTTAAGTCTGCTTGATTGTGATCTCAATTTTGCCGGAACCCAGTACGAACATCGCCGGAACCAATTGTGCACACCTGTCCGGACACCCAGTTCATTCATAGAATTTGATGCATCATTGATGGAAACCAGCTAAAGGAGAACTCACCAGAATATCTTTTTGTGTTGAACATTCCAAGATCAAGATCCGGCCCTGGATAGCCGTGTATTTGGAGATGGGCTTTAGGCCTGCTCCAGTTTTGACATCTGCACCCTTTTCTCACACAATGAATCGAGCAAGTAGAAGATATGTATGCGTATGTATCTTATATACAGTATCTATATATGTGATCTTATGTGATTATGATTGATTATGTGTATGTGCTTTCATACGCATCTTATCGATCTTATCGATTGTTCTAAATAGAGATGGCATCTACTCCTCCATGATTGGAGGGAGCAGGAAAAAATCTACCAGATCTACCAGTTGCTTCATACTGGGACCCCAAATGTGCCCCCTCCGGCACATCATGTGTTCAGGTGGTGAGCTGTGGTGAACCTCTGGTTCCGTGCGCCACGGCGCCTCGACCGCCGCAAAGCCCGCCTTCTCATCAAGCTGCAAGTCTCGTGCGAAGTGCTTGCACCGAGCACGGAAGGCCGCCTGGGCGGGACGGACAGACTGACCGCTCACAGGATCGACATGGAAGGACCATCGGTCTACACTCGGAGTGAGGATCCGAATCGACCACTTGATCCGAAGAAGCACCGGGATCCACTTCCATGGAATGCGGGTCAAGAGTAATGTAGACTCTGGATATCTCTGGATTATACCCCCCCACGATATGAAGAGATATGAAGAGGATGTCCAGTCCAATTCCAATGGGGGGAGGTTCTCAAATCAAGAGTCTACATTCTACATCTACCAGCAGTCACAAAGGGGTGGTGTTTAGTCCCTAAGTGAGTGGATAATGGGCACCCTACCCTCCATTAAGCATCCCTTTGTGACTGCGGGTGTATAGCTGCTTTGGCGAAAGTTTTTTACTTCGCTCCCTCTGCGCGGGTCCCCCAACTCCAAGCAGAACGACCGGACTGACGCGGGTCGTTCACTCTCCACCGGACGGACCGTGGTCCCTCGGGGTTCTCGGTCGCTTGGTCACTCCCATCCGGCCGGAACCGAGCACCAAACAGGGAAGGGAAGGCGGATTGGATTGACCACTTTCAAGTAGAAACACATGAAAAGCGCCAACGCACACGCGCCATGAAAAGCGCCTGCTTGAACGACTACCGCACCCATGAAGAACATGTGTTATGAGTGTGTGAGTATGCATGAGTCTTGTTCTTGAGATTGGTGTGATCATAGTTTCAGGATGTTTCATGCGTTGCCATTTCATGCCGACCAGGATGAATCATTTTTTGGAGGAGGTCAACGTTTCTGAGGGAAGACTACTGTAACCTCTGCGGTTGATCTGCTCTTACGAAGATTGTGAAGGACCATGCCAGCATGCGTCTCCAATTAAGGCCCATATTCTGAAGGAAACCTTGCTCGAACACCTAGACGGCAAACGCAGCTGCTGGTGCTTCTTTCTCCCCATGTCGAGCTGGAAGGGGAACCATTCCGAGTCATGACATGACCTCTGCTCTGCGGATTCTCGGAGCTTCGGAGATGCCTCGCATGCCTCGCTCAGAAAAAGAACACACCCGACCGGGAGGGTTCTGGGCCTCCTTCGGCACTCCGGCCTCCTTCGGCCCAAAGCCCTTCGGTGCCCGAACCCCTTCGGCCGCTTCGGCGATCTTCGGCTGAAGAAGGTGACGGGGCCTCAGCAGTTGGACGAAACACGCGAGGTGTTTGTTGAGCGGGGTACTCGTGGTGGACCAACACTCAGCAAAAGCTCAAGGTTGAAGTCAAAATCAATGGTACCATATGAAAACATATGACAACAACACCTTGGGCCTTGGTGATTGCACATGCATGTGCAATGAACATTGAGGTTGGGTATGAGTTCTGATCCAAGACTGAGTCTTTCCTTGCACTCTTGAGAGTGGAATCCTTGCAAGGGCGTTGAGCGTCCACCATGATGCTTTGTTATCTTGTGGTGATGTGTGATGATCTTAAGGCAATGTATTTTTGAGAGACACCTCAAACGTTCACTTTAATGACACAGTCTAGAAAGGAAACTTTAAACAAACAGAGATCAGTCAGTGTCAGGTAGACGAAGCCTCAAGTTAAAACTCTTAAATCCATCCGAGCACTTCGTCCCTCCGAGATTGGTTCAAACATTACCAAACGCTTTTCCCAAACAACACCGTTGTGCCGTGGTATCCCAGCAGGGCCTTGTTTGGGGGGCACGTCACAAAAATGTGACGAGCAACGGTGAACCATAATGAAGCATAATGAAGCCATGACGAACCCATTTTTCAAATGTCAATGATCCTCGTCAGAACTTCTCCTCAAAATGCCCTTTTGATGACCTCCCGTCCATTGGAGAGCCCCAGGAACCATGGAGAGCGTTTAGCTTCAGAAACGTCAGAGGGCCAGTATGGTCGGGCCGTTCGTTCCGCATCCCTCATGCATCAAACACTCCCCGGGTGCGAAAACACTCCCCGGGTGCCAACATGGACCGGAATCCGGGTTCAACACGGTTCCCCCGACCCCTGGTGGCAGGAATTGACTCTTTCCTGTGGACCGTTCATGTGGACCGTTTCAGAGGCTCCAAGATCTCAGCAGCGCAGCTTGGCATCCGATTCGCTCCGGCACCCGAGACTCGCACGGTGGAACACTTGGAGGGCTCGCCTTCATCTCCACCTGGGGGACGAGCGGCCGGTTCCCGCCGACCTGAACGACGAGCCAGGAATCGGAGAGAAGAGCTCGAAGCACATCGGATGGCAAGGCCTCTGAAAGCTAGCTAGAAAACAAAAACATTAAATCCTCATGCATCCTCCACAAACAGTGTGGTTTTCCACTTCCATGTTGGTGAGTCAAATGGTAAACACAAAATGATACAAAATGCATTTCTTAGGTGCTACACTGCTACGAATTTGCACCATCGAGTCGTCTTCAGTCGTTGGTACACCTGACCCAAACAAAATCTAAGTACCCAATCAGTCAAAGTGCACACGTTGCCTTTATGTGTTCTTAGCCAAACCATCCATGTATGGAATATATATATATATATTGGTTAGATCGTTTTTTATGTCAAGTAGGGTCATAAATGCAAATATTAAGTAGCTATTCCATCTATGGCTGGTCTGGGTTCAGTGGGTCAGTGAGTTACATCTTTGTCGCCATTCCTGCCACAACTGTGCCAGGCCTCTCAAACTTGCCTTCTTCCCATGGAATCGGCGCAGCATGGCGCAGCATCGCCAGGCCAATTCGAAACTGCTTCGTGATGAATCGGCATGGTATACCGGTATACCCATGATTCCATGACCGCCCAAGATCCCAAACTCTTGAAACCCATCTCATATGGCACCCAGGATCCTTTCCTGGGGGCTAGTCACGATCAAACCCGGGCCATTCTTTTCACTCCCGAAGCTCGGTGGCCGTTTGGCTGCTCAGCTCGTTTCAAGAAATCAGACAGGTGGGCAAAAACCATGCTAGAATCCTCGTTCGAGATGACACATCACATTCTTGTTCTGGTGCGACTTCAAGTTATGACATGGTATGACCATGCTATGCATGACTCATGCAAGCACACCCATCCGTGGGCAATTCTGATTCTACCTGCTGCACACAAAAGCCTGCGGAGCTCCATGACCATTCGAAGCAAAAACATGGGAATTCGCACTTCCACCACATGGGAGGGGACCACCGACCGTGTGGATTCTGACGTGACGGGTCCCGCATCGCGTCCTACGGGTCGCCCGGTTTCTTCGTCGCGATCCGATGGGTGAGACGGACGATGAACTCCCAAAGGCGAACACGAATTGTGAACACAAAGACCTCCAGATATTGGAACAGGATGTCTGAGATTGGACAATTTGTTGTCGCTTCAAGTGGGGAAATGATGGTAGACACTGGTCAACCAACGCTTGCATGACCATCATTTCCTTTACCAATGTTGACCAATGCTTATCAATGCTTAACATCATGTGAATCATTTCCGGATCTAGAGTCTAGAGTTGACCGATTTGGATTTAGAGTCACTTGGTCAACCTCTGCAGTTGGTCAAATGCACCCACAAGTCACTGACAAAACACACAGCTTCGGCTTCTTCGGCCCCGACTTTTTGCGCTTCTTGGGCCCCGATGTGCCGGGCCCCGATCTACGGTTTGGCTACTCATTCACACCTTGACCGCTGGCGAGGTTGGTTATATATTGGGCAAGGATGAGTCAGCAAAAGTGTCACTTGAGGAAGTCCTAGGTCCTAGCTCAAATCAGAATCCAAGTAAAACTAAACCAATTACAAACCATGAAACAATGTGTAAAACTCGCCTTATCCTTGCGGAACAGCACATGCTGTAGAGCGTTTAGCCAAACCACACTTTGCTCGGAGAGGATTTCCACATCCTTTATTGCACAACCCCTCCATTGCACCCTCAGATCATATCAACTTTGAGACACGGAATTGGATCGAAACTGATTGCCGAACAGTGTTTAAAGTGGGCCCTTGAATGCGAGTAGGTTCCGGTAGATACTCAAAGCTGGCACTGGCCAATTGTCGGACACAAATCAGTGCATCAGTCGCCAACCCCAGTAACTGATCTATCCGTGGGCCGTGGGGGTTTGGATCTGGCTACATAATGGCGGCCAGTTCGTGATCTTGAGATATCATCCGACAGGTGCTCGATGTTGCATTACGCTCCGCACTTCTTCCTCCGTTCGGAGAGGCAGACGCTACATTTCGCACATCGCTGGTGAGCATCAAACAAGGGCATCGCTCGCCAGACAGGCTTGAACCCCTCGTAGGTGGTCTTACTGAGAGATGGCAGTGTGGTGAGCACAGCCAATAAGGAAACATGTTCAAGTTGAACTCGTGAGCAATTCCACAGCGCAGTGCCCTTGTCCCAATGCCCAGTTGTTTTACTTGAAACGTCTTGACTCTTTGTCTGTGACATTCTAGCCAAAAACTCATCAAATTCTCTTTGTAAACACCAACCTGGACGGCTTCTACAATCTACATTTTTCATTGGAATAGGTTGGCAGGTTTGGGGTTCATGACTCCTGCACCGATGCCCTGGTGCTCCACTGCTCGGGAACGACGTTCGGTTTGCCCTGGTTCGGCTACCGCGTCCCTGCACTGACAGGTTGAAATAAACAATGGCCACATGGGCCAAGCAAGCATCCATGTTTGAGTTCGCTGGTCTCAGCAAGGGAAACGGAACGTCACTTATGGTGGGGCCGGGACAAGTAGTCAAGAAACCGCATTGGGAACATGTTTTCATTGAGTGTTTGGGCAGAGGAAAAGTGAAGTAAGCCTTTTCCAAAGTCAGGCAAAATGTAAAAAACACACCAAAATTTAAAAAAAAATAAATCGCACACTTATGGCAGCAAATAGTGACCATGCCTTTGCTGTGAACCAGTAGTGCACCTGTCTTTGCGACGTGTCTTGCCTTGTTCATCTCGAAGCCCCGTGCACCTCCCTGTGGTTGTTTTTCCACCGACTGGTGCTGTGTTTGGGTCTTGTATGGGTCTGTGTGCACCAAGGCATGGATGGTCATGTTTGGATCCCTACCGCGATGAATGCCTTCACAAAGACGTTTCAAACACATGCAACGTACTTAGGGTGCAAGCAAACTCCACCTCAGGGCAAGTTCCTGCATCCATCTCTGTAAACCCACAAGTCAAATTTTTGGTGACTGAATTGGTTTTTCTTTATTGGTGTTCTTGTGTGCACGGTGCATATATGCGCCGATATGTTGCATGTGTTCCGCAAGCAGGCCGCAAAACCAAACCCACAACCGCGGAAATGACCGAAATGGACCGGAACATACAAAAACCATTGCCGATTCTAACCACATTCAACGCACATTCTGGGCATCTGAATCTACATCGGTGTTTGAGCAGGGATGCGTTAGGTCAAACACCTTCATGCCATAGGCACAGAGCCTTCCAATGCTTTCCAGATGGTAGACAAATGCGTGGTTGATGAGCAGTTGCACCCAATCCCTTTACTGATGCAGGGTACTGGTTGATATTTTTCGGCTGAAGCGAATTGGTGTTTGTTCGTGCTGTGCGGCTATCACTTGGCGTATGAAGCTCGACAATAGGACAGTTTACAAACAGGAAGCACGGCCCCGCGTGTGTGAATTTGAGGTGCAATTGTATTGGCCAGGGGGTTAACAAGTGATCATGATCAACATCAATGAAGGATGACTCACACCATTGCAAAGTTCAAGACACAAACCGCAAAACCACCCAATAGACTTAAAAAATAAGAAGACAAATAAAACTTGTTTACAGTAATGTTTGACACACGCGCGGACAATGACAGTGTTGCATAGTGATTCCTTCTTCAGCTGCTTGATAGCAGTCGGATACAAAACGGTCCAAGGGCTTGAAACTGGGCAGGGGCTAATGATTTTGCTTGTGCTGCTCGCGCACTTTTTGGGCTAAAAACGGCTGGTATGCTTCTTGATATGTGGTTCTGCTTGACCAAAATGATCACTCGCATAAGCCCCTTGTGCCCTTTCTTCACTCTGGACATTGAGCCCATTCCGCCGCCACTTGTAGAGGTCGATGAAGGCGCAGAAGTGTCTCCATCTCGAGGCTCCTCCCTGGTGCTTGATCCTTCACCTCTCCCTCCACGTGGTCTTGCAGAAATATCTCCTGCTCGATGTAGTCTGCTCTTCATGGTTGATCAACCTCATGCCACGCATCACTGGGTCCCTCCTGATTTCACTCCAGCGCTTATGGCATCGTTGAAGAACCTTCATGAGCACCGTTCCAAGGATGCAGGTCGTCTACATAGACCAATGCCAACCCACGCACTGGGGCTGAGGACCCATCTTGGACGATCTCCTTCTCGCATTTGATGGAGTGGATTGCCTTCCCTGGTACCACTTCCAGCTTGTCGCCATGCTCTCGACGGTAGTAGGCCACATCCTGACTTGATCGCCTTCTTTGCTTCCAACGACTTGATCTCCTTGACGATGGCTTCAATCCATTCGGTCGTGTTCATGAAGACCTCCTCATTGGGGATGATGCGAGTCTGCAATACCTCATCCTCCAACGGTCTTGTGGCTTCTGCCTCTTGTTCAGCTCGAAATGGAGCTAGTCCACGTTGCAGAGCTGGAACTTCTCTAGGTTCCGAACCAAGAAGATGTTGTTCCTCATCATAGAGCACCCTAAAGAGATTGACCCTTCTCTTCTCTTCTTCCTCTTCTTCATGGGTTCTCAAACAAGCCACACTAGCCTTCTCTCTGATCCGTCTCCTCAGCGTCATTGGATCTTCATCCGCAGCTACCTCGACCAGGGCAAGCTCTTCACGGTCTGTCACCGGCTCCTTGAGGTCCTTGATCGTGTAGCTGACGACTTTAATGACATCCTTGTCGGTGAGGACGGCGTGACCCTTTGAGACTTCTGAGACTGTGGTGTCAAGTACGTCAGGCCTGTTCACCTGTTGACTCGAATGCCCCCTCTCGTTGTAGTTCCCAAGATCGCTTCTTCACCACCACTGGCTGGCCGAATTGAGGAAGGCGCTCCGTGATCCTTTCTCGACGTCGTCTTTCTAATTCGACCACGTGTCTGGCCGCCACTGGCCACCAGGCCACATCCATGCCTGCCCCATGCAACAGACGCCGTACCCTCTGCTTGATGGAGTTGATTGCGGCTTCTGCTCTCTCATTTTGAGCGCGCTCATCTGGACAGCTTGTAGTCCTTGCCAGTCCTCTTTCCAAGCACCATCGACGAAAGGAGCCATTGCAAAACTCCCTCCCTTGGTCAGTATGTACTCGTCCGACTGGATATCCATGACGTAGTCGAGTGAAGAGTTCTTGGGTTCCGGCCAACACCTCCTGAGCACTCTTTGAGATCAGTGGGACACAAAGCATCATCGTCACCACCTTGCTGGGTTTGTACTTCTTCTTCAGCTCTTGCTCGGTGGGCTCATCCAAACGTTCTTCCTCTCGTACTTCTTCCTCGAGAGGCACATCACCTTGCTGCTCGCCCTCTGGTGGGTTTTGCTCTCCTCCCTGAAGATCTTCCATCTTCTCTTCGTCTTCCAGGATTCCTGGTCCATGTTCTTCAGAAGGGGGGTAGTAGTCCTCCACGTCGGGATAGTCTTCCTGCCATGGTTCCCTGAGCGGTGCCAATGGTGGTAGCCCTTCGGCTTCTTCCTCCTCCAAGACAGGCCACTCTGGGTTTCCCTCAAAGATCTCGTCCTTTTCCCATTCATGACCTTCATACACTGGCCATGTGTAGCAAATTCGCCTGAGAGGTCCAGAGCAAGCACGCATGGTTCTGGAATGCCCTGAGCACGATGAGGTCTTTGCCGTGCAGCTGCTCCTTGACATACTCCACAATCTCTCCTGAACGGGATACGCCCTTGAGCTAAATGCTCCCTCCACGACAGCACCTGCAAGGCCACGCGCTTCTTTTGGATGTGCGTGACGACCTGAGTGGCAATCTCTCTCATCATAGCCAGGTCTTTGCTCGTCACTTCTGCTCGAGGTCTCCATCACCCTGACGTCGTTCTGGGGGCTGAAAAGGAAAGTTGACTGCCACTGATGTCGGCTTTACCGCCAGTCCTCCAAAGTCTCCCTGGTTGAAGGTGACAAGATCTAACCCCAGAATGGTCTTGAGTGCCTTCCATTCTCCCGTCCTCCAGAATGATGCACACGTTGGTTCTTGAGGTGGTTCAGCTGGTTGTTCAAGCAGAAACTTCACCTTTGCATTCAACCTGAGCTTTGGATCTTGTGCCAATTTAACATCTCTTCCCATCTGTGCCACCACCTGCAGAAGAATCATCCGGTAGAGAAACACATCATCAGTGTAGCACTTCGCCCCTTCGATCTCGCTACTGTGAGGAAGTCCCAATGGATGTGCAGTAATGGTCCCGGCATTCTCTCATGTGGTTGATGCCTCAGAGCTGACCTCGTGCGACAGTTGGGGCCTCCCACGATTCCATCCACCATTCCATCCACACACACATCTTCAGGAGGATGGAGTAGATGCCATCGTCTGCAAGCATGTCATGAGACTTGTCCCTCACAGCTCTTTGCAAGTAGTACCCCTCCTTCGGTCCGGCATAGAGGTGTAGTGTTACTCCCTCTCTTTCCCACCTCCGACAAATCCTTCAGTTCATCTTGAGGTCACTCAAGTCCCTTGACGGGGTATCTACGAGCTTGTTTCTGATCCTTTGCGGCATGTCCTGGAAAACCGGAAAATCACGAACCACCTGATCCAACCAGTTGGTGTGTATCCCTTCATCAGCAAAGACATGACACCTCAAAACCATTCTCGACTTAGCCTCCTCAAGCTCCTGGATCAGGGCCAGTGCCTTCCACCAACTCCACATCGATGGGGCCTCTCAATGGATGGAGTAGCCGACAACGGTCTCCTTCCCATTCCAAGTTGCAGCCAATGGTCCTTGACCAACCGGCCAACTGGTACTGTTGGCTCGACTCCTTCATCCACATGCACCAACACTTGCCCCTCCGTCATTCGCAGCGTGAGTCTTCCTCCTGCCGCCAGGGACACTTGCACTTGTCTATAGCGATCAAGGTTCTCCCCAGGCCGCTTAGGTCGTAGTGCATGGGTTGCTCCCGAGTCCAATAGTCCATTGCTGCCATCTTGAACTCGAGCCACTGACACTGCCTTTATGGTTGGAGTCCTTTTGATCTTCTTCAAGGCTTCGACCAATTAACTCTGTCTCCGTGGACTTCTCGCCTTGAATGGACATGCCCCTCAACATCCTTTGAGCCTCGTCCAACACTTGCTTCAGAGCATCTTGACTACCTCCGTCTGGCTGCTCTGATCCACAGGTCGATGGTGGTGACCCCGGGGGAGTACCGATGAAGCCGATTCTGAGGGCGCCGACGACGAAGTCCCTCCAACATCCTTTCCTTTTGGAGCTTCGGCTTCGTGGCTGGTCGATGCCCTTCTACTTTTCCACCTTCACTGCCTGCTTCTCCAGACTTAGTCACTTCCTTTCGAGTGCAGTCCTTCGCATACTGGTTGGTGGCTCCACAGACATAGCATCTCTTCTCACTTGGTTCAGCTTGATGCACCCATCGACAAGCAGCTTCTCGACGACATCCCGTGTCTGTCCTAAAATATTTGCAGATGCCGGGACTCTTGCCTCCAGCTGGGCTTCCATCGCCTTTCAAATTTCGTGTCCTCGACGTTCATGGTTTTCACCCGCGGAGCTCCTCCTCCAGGATTGCCAGCACAAGGCACACCACTGGCCTTCGCGGGCCTCACTCGATGCATGAGTTGTTCAAGTTCTGCAAGTAAATGCTCGGCGTAGGTCTTGACTGTCTCCTCTGTTGGGATGGTATCCAACTGCAGAGTATTCCTCACAGAACACCTGAATTGCAGTTCGGGCTGCTGGGACAACACCCTCTGGCTTAGTCTCGTGATGCCCTTGAGGAGGATTGTTGAATCTGGGAGATTCAAACCTATGTCTGAAGCTTGTCGAAGCCAGCGCATCCACCTCTGCAATCCTGTGCAGGCTTCTGCGGGTGACCCCGATTCTGCCGGCTCTTCAAGTTGTCGCCAGATGATGGAACGTTCATGCGTCCCACCTGGTTGATAGAGAACCATGAGCTTGCTGACCAGGCGTAGGGGTGACAGTGCACGGGTTGCCACCAATTCAATTCAGACTTGTTGGTACCGAAGCAAGCATCATGCTGATCGCCCTTTTCTCCACGCGCACCCATCTAGGCTTCTGCAACTCCAAAGAAGGCTCGATCGTGCAGTTGGCTCTTTGAAGTGGTCGAAGATGGATGTAGTGGTTATACCACTTCCTCGCTTCGCTCACCACCAACTCCCACCATGCACTGCCCTGAAGAATCACTCAGACCCGTCATCGCAGGTTCAATCAGCGTGAGCCAGTCTGCCAGGTCTATTGGTGCTGAATCTGAGGGCTCCGGAAGAGTAGGAAGGGTCACAGTTCCAGGTCGGACTCAGGGCAACTGTCCTTGCTCTCCTTCTCAAAAAGGTGGTTGACCAGCTTAGCCATCACCTCCATCATCTTTTCACCCTTGACCCCATCTTGGCTCCGAGGCCTCCGGTTGTGTTGGTGGTGCTGCCGTTGATCTCCTCCGAGATATGCCCACACCCTTTCCATTGCCTTGTCGAAGCTCTTCTCCATAGGCCTTGGCTCTAGCTGCCACTGTGCCTCTTGGATGCTCTTCTCCTGGACCAGATGTTCTAGGGCCTTGTACAGACCTTGACCACTCTCTCTGTCCATGGCCTCGTACTCCACGTTTCCGCCGCTTCCGCTCCTTCCCCAGGTCGATCTCCTTCTCCTGCTCACCTGCGGTCATCTCGAGATGGCGCTTCACAGTGTCTCCACTCTCTGGTGTGCGAAACAGCTGCTGCTCCAACTCCTGTTGGAGGTCGTGAACGTTCGCCTCAAGGCTAGCTCGTTGGAACTTCATGGCATCCATCATCTCGGCCTGTTCAACCCGAAGTTGCTGGTTCTCCTGTCGAAGGAAGGCCAACATCGTCATCATCTCCTGTGGATTGGGTGGACCCGCTCCATAGTGGTGCACATGCTGCCAGCCACCTTGATGTGGATAAGGCATCTGATGTCCTTGTATATGCGGTCCTCCAGGAGGTAGGTGGTGACCTCGTCCATTTTAGGTGCAAGCTGATCTTGATGTCCCGGTCCATTGCCTCGGACTTGAACAGCAAGTTGATCTGGTAGATGATCTCGTTCATCTCCACTCCCTTCAGGTTCCTGCACCTAAGGGCCATGCTGCTCCAAAGAACGGCCTCTTTGAGGTTCTCCAGATCCTTGTCCATGAGCAGGCAAGGGAGATGGAGTCCCTGTCGTTGTACACTGGAGGCTGCTGTCCAGGATCTTGCATTCCAGCTCCTGGCCGCCACACGCTCTCTCGAGGCACCTTGGCATACAGGTGAGGTGCCTGACTCTGAACTTCATGAAGATCTCGAAGTTGCTTAGGAGAAAACAAAGGTGCCACTGGGCCCAGGCTCGTCGGCCTTCCGACAGGACCTTGTAGGTCTTCTTTCTCCCCATCCTCCAGAGCCAGCTGCTCTTCTCCTTCTCCATCGGCAAGCCCCGCACCCTCAGCGGCTGACTCACCACCATCATCTTCTCCTTCTCCAGGAAGCCGCCGCCGTCTGCGCCTCATGTCCATGGTCACAGCGACGCGTGCTTGGGCCGCCCCCACCTCACCACGTGGGGGGCTTACACCTGGGGCGTTGGGCTCATAACCTGCTTGTGCTGCTCGCGCACTTTTTGGGCTAAAAACGGCTGGTATGCTTCTTGATTTGTGCGTGTCTTCATGACCTGCAGTGCAGATTTAATGGGCTTGAAGAACAAAGTACCCACAAACTGCAATGAGCATTTTCCAAATCTGACTCACCATCTTTGTACAGTAGAACTTGGGTACAGCAACAAACCTGTGAGATATTGAGGTGGTTGAGATGTGCTCCCACCATGCGCTCGCAGGATATGCCAAGGCCTCTGTGTGCTCTATTGCGGGGATGTTTTTAATAACAACCTTTGCCATTGATATAGATCCATTGAAAAGTGCCTTCCTTAACATGCCATAATACAAGATATGCACTGGTCAAACATACAGGAGCTAGCAAAGGATGAACGTTTGGTTTCTAAGCATTTGTTATATCATATTCCTCATGAGGTGTCTTGATGCTGCGTGCCTCAAGTGGATTTCAAGAATCTCTTCCGATCTACACCATCTGATCGACAAAGTAAATGGTTCCAAGCCTTGAAACACGCTGATGCGTAACTTCTCTTAAGTGGCTTCTCCATCTACGGTCGATCACTGAATTGCGCTTAAAACATAACACAATCGGTACAAAGACAGCTAAGAGCTGCAGTGAAACTCTATCGGTAGGGCCCTTCTCCAATGTTCAATCTAACCTGCGCGACACAAACAACAGTGGCAGGGTACGAACCCCTCTCAGAATTGAGCAACATGAGGGCTGCCATACTCTTGTACACATCACGCTCAATAGAATACGTGCTTCCACGAACCCTTGAATCTTGGGATCACCTGTGCAAAGCTGTAGCAACAACAGGTTGGAAAAGCATACCTCCCATTGACTTGCACTGAGAAACAATCTTGACGCAAGATCCACATGATTCCACCCTCAAGCAATTGCATCCGAGCTTTGACAGTGCTTGAGAGTGGACTGTGTCAGGTGCAAGTGTGGTGCGCCGACCTTCTTTGTCTCAGCGCTGCTCAAAAACAACAGGAAACATCTGGAGCTTTTTCTGCTTTTCATGACGTTTCATGATTTGTGATATTTGTGATCCTTCTTGCTTCTTCTGTTCCTCTTTTCCGTCCAAGCCCATAATCCGCCTCATCTCTGCCTGCTGCGGCTTGCCTTCGGGAACCCAAAGGGATCACAAGCCGATTACCTCAAGACCCATGGACCTGGCAGGCCCAAACCATCCCAAACCACAAACAGCATGAGTCATATACTTTGGATGCTGCCCCTGTATGTATGTATTTATATATATATATTTACCTACGATATGTAGCGAGCAACATAAGACTCTCAGCACTATATAATTCTGCCATCTTCTGGCAACAAATCAGAACAACAAATCGTCCGAGCATTCGGGGGCCGTTTTGACGAAACGACGTGACAAAGGACCTACCCGTCGGACCGGGAGACGAGGAGAGCGTCGTTAACGCGCGACCAAGACAATTGGCGCCCAAAACAACGGATCATAATATCACCTTATATATATAACATAGATATATATATATAGTTATATATATATATATCTGAAAAAAACCTCCTGACCTTCATATCTACAGAAGTGACATATTCGCGAAAACCAAGAAGACACGGCAGCTTGTGTCATCCCACCTCAAGCGTCCGCCCGGCAGCGGTCCCACCGAGCTGTGCGGCGTGGCGGAGCCACTCCGTGACCCGGTGGCTGCGGCGCTGCCACGGTTGCTCTCCTCAACGCGCGCGCCAAGCGGCGTGAGTAGAACGCGCAGTAGTATATGTATATAGAATCGGAGTGTACAACAAGGGAGGGATTCACCATGTCTTGGGAGGATGAATCGCGTTCCTGCTAGTTCTTCTCTACATCTCTCTCTAGCTCTCTATTGCCATCCGTCAAGCTTAGCTGCAGAAGGTCCGCATCAAACAAACGAGAACTTGCTGTCCATTCATCACCTTTCTCGGCGTCCACGAGGAAGAGGGAGGAAAGCATGCAAACAAAATTAACTCCGATGGCTTTACCGATAGATGTTCCCCCCATGAATCTCCGCACTGCATTTCCCATGATCTTTAACACCCGAGGTTCATATCCAACATGGAGGTTCTGGCTACTTTTTTCGATCAGCGTGTGGCATGCTGCCGGCATGGTCCACCCTTCTGCCGCATGCTGCGGCTGAAGACTTCTTGCAGACATTGCACCATGGAGATGCTCGAAACTTTGCAGGATGTGCCAAGCAGAGGTGCTAAAGGCCATTCGAAGCATGAAGTTGACTCGGACGACCCTCTGGAGGGCACGAAAACACGGACCAACAATGCCTACTGCTGATTGTTCGATCCAATTGATGGCCTACAGTCTACAGGTCCCAGTTCCTTTTTCGGTTGCCCCACTCCACTCCCCGCATCCAAGCAATTGAGCGGCCGGTGAAGACAAGCGCATGGCTGGCAAGGCCGGAGGGCTGTCCATGCCAGGCCTCGTCCGAGTTGAGTACAGTTGAGTAGATGGTGCTTAATTTGTAGACCCAAAAAATCATCAGCCAAATCGGGAGAAATGACAATAACCAGATCTACCAGGTGCTTGCTGGACTACATCATCCCCACAGGCGTGATGGCTGGCATGATCCTTGCGAGCACCGGCCCGTGCCCCAAGCCTAATGCACAAGGGCCACAAATGGTATGTATACTTTTTATGGGGTGGGCCCGGATGGTGGGCCAACCACCCCACATTTGGTTAAAGGTCATGTGAAGGAATCCAAACTAAGGCTGATGGCTTTGTAGGATTTTGAGGGGGCTCCGTCATCCGCGTGGTCCTCGCAGGTGTGACGGGCTGCTTCACTCCGAAAATGGCGTGCTTCCCCCCCGCGACGAAGACACCTTTCCGAAAATCTGCCTCAGGAAACCCGCGGCAAATGTTACCCTGTAGACCATCATAAACCAAATGTTGCACATCCATCACTGAGGACAAACGGTCATGGCTGTTAGATCCGCAAGGGAAAATGGATGATTAAGCCTGTATACAAGTCTCAGGTTCATCTCCCTGACAGCCCACCAACATGAAGATGTCTTTCTGCAAAGCGAACAGCCAACAATTCCCTTCAAAGCGGCTTCTTAGTTGCCTGATTTTGAACCCACCTCATTGCCTCGCACCTTCGGGGCCTGATCTACCACAAATTCGCGATCACAAAGCCTCACCCAAAAATGGAGTCTGGTAGCGCTGGTAGATTCTAGATGCGAGCGAAGCTAACTTCATTCGGTTGGAGCCCTGGTTGGACGGCGGAACATCCACCGATCTCCGCCTGAGATGGAACATCTCCAGGGTTGACATGGAAGCACCATCGTGGAGATTCGCTGCCGCACGGCTGTTGCGCCTCTCCTTTCGGGACCGTGCTGAATAACAGGCGACAAAGATAGGTTAGACGCGGTGGTCTGGCCCAAAAGACCGGGAAGAATACATGAGATCCTGTGAATTTAAGATGATTTATGATTCAAATATCTCCTTTGCTTGGGCGTATGCTCTCCGTAAAAACGGAGTGGCGCGGAATTCCGTGCATTCCCACCCCTGCGTCTGAACTCCGATACTCCTGGTTGGGGCTCACAGCTCGTTCTGCCTCCCGCTCTGGGCGGAGACCGCGGGTGACCCAGTAACAGAACTGAGCAGCAGCCGTTGGAAAAGACCTAGTATATAATCATAATCAAATCTGTCACCAGGCTTAGAGTTGGATTTATTTGGGCAGCCTAGCTAGGTCCCCCGAGTGAGGAACACTAGGAAGAACAATCAAATGTTCATCTTGATCCAACTTGGTCAGCCAGAAGTTCCCCCTGTTTCTCTAGTCCTTCTCTTGCCCATCAATTGGAAGAAGCGCTGTCACCGACTGCTCAAGCCATTTTGAAGGCATCATGCAGGGGCATGTCGGTGTTGAATGCTTCATATCGACGCATGCCTGAAGTCATGCTTCGCCGAGCGGAGAATTCAAACCAAAATGACATGATTGAACTGAATTGCCGTGAGCCCGACCGTCACCCTACCAGCTTCGAGATCTCTGAGACGTCCGACATGAACATGTGCCAACTTCATCCAACTTCCAACCCAAATTCTAAGTAAAGCTATGAGGAAGCTACTAGGAACAATTGCATCGCTGCTAGTAACAGGTGCCTTACTAGTAACAAGAAGCTAGTAGAAACAAGTGCCTTACTAGTAGGCGCAGGGACGCTACTAGGGGCTCCTGGCCTTACTAGTAACAAGCTTCGCTACAGTTGGCATGCCAGACCTGTTCGGAGCGGACGTGCCTATTGCGGGCACGTCCGCTAAGCCCAAAGGCAGGGCCCATTTCTCTCCCTCCCCTTTCTGCCTTTAATCGCCCAAAGCATCCCAAAGCCTATTCACCCCAGGGCTACCTTGCAATCCTGAATCTCGCAAGGTGGCAGCGGATCCAGGACCCAGGAAGTAGGCAGTGAGAGACACTCGTTTCATCCCGCCATGCCTCTTGTGCACGTCGCCGCCTGCAAGTGGAAGAAACTCAAGAAAGCAAGCGGAAGAAAAAGGCGCCTCGTTACCAATTAGTGCCAAACATGTGCGCAACTCCTTCATTGATTGAAGCTAATCTTCATTTTGAGAATCCATTCGGGGGAGCCACCAGGCGCCATCAATCCCGTGGACATAATAGTGCCTTTTGTCTTGCCCGTGACCAGGGCCTTCTGGAGTTTAAACACCACTCACCCTCAAGCAGCCCGAAGCCCTGAAAACTATCGCAAAAGAAAGGTGTTGTTCCTGGAAGTAGCTGGCCAATGTCTGGTGACCTTGTTTTTGAAGAAATCTGCGCTTTTGGGTTAAATCTGTGACTAAGCCCCGGCGGCTGGAGTCCGTGCTGCGACTCGCACTGGCAAATGCTGGCAGAATACATGCCTACCGATGGTAACCACCCACACGTAAACAAGCACGTAAACTTTGCAACAAACAACAAATCAGATTTCCAGAAGCAAAGATTGATCAGAAACGATTCATCTAACATAACCTATAATTAAACAACATATAAATATGTATGTGATACTACATTATATTTTTCATGCCCCCTCCCCAGGCTGTCATAGTGAAAAAAGAAGCCTCCCAGGTCTTGATCTTGGTCGCCTGGCCCGCCGCTCCTGTTGCCATGTGGGCCATGAGGGTAGAAGATCCCAATCTGGGCCTTCAATGGTCCAGCATGTGGACAAGTACTGATTGAATTGAACTTGAACATTTGCATGTTTGCGAAAGGGTTATATAGTTGATTAATATCTTCATGACTATCTTCATTGTCCTGCTGCAGCAGGCAAATTCTGTCGCTGGTGTGCCCATTGCTCAGGATCTCGTTTCTTGGCTTGGGTGACATGTCATCGCTTGTGAACATGTTTATTTGAGGTGCACTGACTCCAACCAATTGAGCTCGACGCTTCCTTACCACCCAGCTCCCCTCCTGCGACGGAGAATGCTGCCTCAATGACGCTGCCGCGCCGTTGCTGCTCGCTGTTTGTGTGGGTGTATCCCCCTCTCTCTCTCTTCATTTGTCTCAGTACCCCTCTCTCTCTCTTCATTTGTCTCAGTACTTCTTGCACCTAATTCTCACCCAGCCATCTCCCTTGTAGGATTTGAAGATATTTGAAGCCTTCCAAGTCCTAGTCACTAGTCCTAGTCTGTCAGCGGCGGAGCTTGGCGCCATACCGATAAGGCAATTCCTCCCTCTCTCTCTCACGCTCTCTTGTTGGATGGCATCCACCTCCCCATGAGCTCCAAAAGAACATTGCCTTGCCTTGTCTGTGCTCTAAGAATCCAGCTGACGCTGAAATCTGAATCGAAAGCTTACCCTCTGAGTGCAGAACGAATCGATCTCGGGATTGTACAACAGGCCTCCGAGGCAGCCAAACTGCTGAAGAAAGAAAACCATCCGCGAACGAAGGAGGCAGCCAAAATGGCCCCGACCAATCACATTGCTAAGTTCACTGCTAAGCTGAGCACATCTGCAACCCCCCAACATCACCTGAGAACATCTGAGAACTTAAGATCAGATATCACCCGTCTGTCGGATCCGCGCAAGTCCGGTTCGGATTCCGCGCAAGTCCGGTTCGGAACATCAGCTCCGACTGTCGGCATGTTTACTGACCAAGCCAGGGGTGGAGAAGGGGTGGCCTTGTGTGGCCTACTGGGTGGGCCTGTTCTAGACTGTTTCCAGTCCAATCGCTCGTGGTGTTTGGGATTGCTGGCCCACGACACATGTCCCACGACAAAAAGATGAGACCTCTCGAAAATGGCCGTGGGACATGTGACTTCAACTCAGTTGCGAAACTTGGGCACTGGATTCAATCATCCCAAATACAGGGTGGAGTTATCATGAGTTAACTGAATCAATCTGAATCACCCGGAGGCCTGTTTTGCGACCGGACCAGTCCCCCCGCGACCGGCACGCACCTTCCAGCGTTTCTTGAACTGAAAGACTGCCAGTACTGCGACCAGCACTGGTGTGACTGATGTGGTGATCCATCTCGACCTGACAAAGAAAATGCAAGGTGCTTCGTCAGCAAAATTCAACACCAAAGGCGCACCGAAGCTTTCTCTGTCAGGTGGAGAACTCTTTAGCTAGCGGTCTCGGACCTCGGATAGCTTGAAAGTTAAAAAATGCTTCAGAAATGGTGGAGTATTCTAAAGAACTCTACCACTCCAGATCTGGTCCGGGGACACCACTGACATAGCTGGAACGCATTTGCACAAAAAGAGTTCCGAGAAGATCCGAGAAGGACATTCTCGGGCATACATAAACATCCGACCTGAATTCTTAAGCTTTCAAGCCAAAAGCACAAGCTTGATGGAGCTAACTCACCATGACCCTGTGCAGGAAAAGCCGCAGATTTGAAGATTTGCACATTGCATTGGCCATGTGGCTGTGACACATTCCTTTTAAAGGTTCGGTGACTTTCATTCGCTAAATGAAGTAATTAGTCCGCTGCTTGGTCCTCCATTCCGTCGCAAATGTCCACCTAAACAAACAAGACTATATATAAGAAAACCGTTTGACCCACAACCGCTTTCGCGCCACGCTTTCGCGCCCAGCTGCTTGGGATGGCAAGGTCAGAGAGTGGAGTGGCGACGGATCTTCTGTGGGCAATGACACCTGCCCCAGGCAGTCGGAGCCGCTGAATGGCTACAATCGCATGTTACCCCCTCTGGCTGGGCCAAAGATACTTCCACACCTCCAAGATTGGTCTCATGGTGCACCACGCTGTTTCATGTAAATAATGTCCCGGGACCGTTTTGTTTCTGGTCCAGTCTTCGCACACTGAGGACCTCATGTTCCACCCAAATCCTTCCAAACAGCTTCTACCCCCCTACCCCCGAAATCCTCTCTTTCCCCACCTGCGATTTTAGCATGGAGGGCGATGGCGTCATCGGTGGCGGCGGCGAGTGCACCCCCGAAGTCACTGAGCTTGGTGACATGGGCAGCGCCGGCTTCGAGTGGAGCTTTTGCGGCAAAGGTGGCAAAGGTGGTGGACCATCGCCACGTGCCCCAAAGGAGCGCAACATCTGATCGAGAAGTGATGGCTGAACTGTTTTGAGCAGGAGTCCATAGTAAGACTATGGAAGATTGGAAACTTCACTTCTGGAAATTTAAAACGGGAATCATTCAAACAATTGGGTGTGCTGGTGGTAACACTGTGGATAGCATCCTTCAGGAACCTTGAACAAATTGGAAACCTTGACTCGGAGAATCAAAAAAACTACTCATAATACATAATATTTCTCGAATAGACGTGAAGAAAACTACCGCAACGAGTGATCCATTTGATGCGTTACAAGTCATGACTCTGCTCTCCGTGCCCTGCCTCGCTGGAGGTGGGAATCAATGGTGGCGGTGGAGGTGGGAGGGACTGCTGTCCATAGCGGTCCGACTGGTTCGCCCAGTCCCAGAATTGGTTCGCCCAATCCTCGTCGCCCGGTGTGAGGTCCCCGCACACTCAGCCGATTTGGGTGGATACATTCCGACTCACTAATTATATACATGGAAGTGGAAACTACAGTGATCTAATGTCTAAGATGGACTGGGTTGGTTTGGGCCCATGGACAAGCTAAAGTGGAGAAGAAACCCTCCGAACCTCTGGTGGCCCTCACTCACCGCGCTCCCTCGATGTTCGGCTTTTGGACGATCCAGCTGGTACAGGAGAACTGTCCCGAATACGTGCGTATTTCCAGGGGGCTCAGCCAAAATCACCCTTGGAGGTGCATGTTTTTCAGACATTATCATTGCCCAACCTCTGAAACCACATGGAATCACCATGTAGACATATCTGTGCCGAAACAGTTTGTCAAATCAAAACATGGATCCCTCACCTCACCCCTTGTATGCTTGCACGATGGGAGAATCTTCCAAAACCACCTGTCACATGACATCTTCGTATGAATCATGCACAGCACGATTACGGTCTCATCAAAGGGTGGACGTTCATCAGCTACATTAGGGTTGCAAACGGGTGAAACAAACACACAAATACTGAATCTGACACCCTTTAGGCCCATTAGCTGCGCAGAGACCCTAAAGACCCATGCGGAAAGAAACACAACTTAATACTCCCTGGCCCTATTTAAGGGGCTGACGCCCACCAGCGGGCCAGCAGGCCCACCATCAGAGGTTATGTCGTGTTGTCGTTGGTCTTGTGGTTGTTGTCGTGGTCGTTGGTGTTCCTGTTGTAGTTGTAGTTGTGGTTGTTGTTGTTGCTGCAGCAGCAGCGGCGGCAGCAGCAGCAGCAGGAGTAGTAGTTGTTGTTGTCGTTGTTGTTGCAGCAGCAGCAGTTGCTGTTGTTGTTGTTGTTGCCTTTTCTCTTGAGCAGGAAAAGAAGAAGAGCATCCATAAGCACAACATGCTGATAATGCAAGGCTACTCGGGCAGCATATCTCGCACCCGGAGCCCTTGAAACTAGCAATGTGGATGCCATGGGTGCACCCCCATGTTTTTTTGATCCATTGAACCTGATGTCACAGAAATGCCTCTTCTCGGCG